TATACCTTTTTAGTAATAAAATAAAGTACTCTGGTTCTGTACTCGGATAACCATCGTAGCCCTACTGTACAAATACTTCAGCACTTCGATATACCGACGGTCAACTTGGCACCGCTGAAGTAACTGTAGCACGGCCCAAATTTCGACGGAATCAAAGGCTTCTCATAATCCACATACACCAGGCAAAGTGGCAGATCGTACTCTTCGGTTTACTTTTTTGGTAATAAGATAAATATGCAAAGCAGAAATAATCAAGTATTATTTACTTTGAATAATTTTAATCTAGGCCTGCCTCACAGATTGTCTCATAATGAGGGCTCTTTACCAAAGTTGCCAAGCTTGGCAGGCGTGTGGGCCGACAAGCACAATTTTATTATTCTGAGTTGTCATCAGGAAGATGCTGCTGCCCATCTCCTGGTTCAGTTTGTTCGGTTGCCTCTTACGACACCCCGTGGGATGACAATTTTTACGCCGTCACTACACTGGTTGCCTACATTCGCCAGTCGATTTTTGATGGGCTGTACTGAAGGGATGAATGAAGTGATATTCATTTTCTAAATTAAAAAAGTAACAGCCTAAATACGTCCCACTGCCGGACACAGTACCTTTGATTTCTTAGAGGGTTTTAGGGCAAGAAAATCTTCGCCGCGCCACCCCAGTGTGTGTTAACGTACTTAACATATCTTCGAAATCTTGTTTTTCTTATTTCTCTTTCAGACATGCAGGTTTTCTCACGATATTTTCCTACAATGCGGTTTTTTATACGCGGTAGAGCCACGCTGCAGCTATATTATGGTTGTAGCACAAATGGGTGAACTTGAACGGAGAAGGATTACACTTTCACAGAATACCAGCGTAAAATAGCAGCTCAATACTGCTGTGTTTCGTATGGTAAGTGTAGAGATTCGGAGACCCTTTTTACTGGAAACGAGGCAATCTATCTTAGTCCTCAGGGGTGACAACGCATCTGCATTATGATTTTTAGTCGAGGATAAATGTAGATTTATGGACCATAGCATTCACTTACCATCAGGTGGAATGTGTGCTCGTTTATCAGCCTTATTCCTTAAAAAAACCGCCGAGCACGTTTGCAATAAAAATTTTTATTAGTGCCGGCGGAGATCGAACCTGGGTTGCTCACATACGGTGAAATTTAGCATAGCTCTTTTATTTTATATATTATATATTTTTTTAATTCAGAAGCCGTAACATAAAACCAGACATTTTAATCTCTTTTAAACTTTTCCTTTTTGGTGAAAACGAGCACATAGTACACCTGTGGTGGTAAACGGATGCTGTGGCGCATAGACATCTACATCTATTGTCGATTTAGAAACAAAATTCAGATATGTTGTCAGCTCTGAGGACTAGCTAAGATGGAATGCCATCATGTCTACTAAAAAAAGGGTATCCCTTCACAGTCACCATCCGAAGCACAACAACATTAAGCTGCTATTTTAAGTTGGTACTCTGTTAGAGCTAGGTCCTTTCGGTCGAGCCGACACATTTGTTCTACAGTTATAATATAGTTAAAACATGACTCTACTACCCATATAATATAATAAGTATTATAAAATCTATCCATCTAAACAGGATAGGATTATAGTGCTCAAGTGTATGCGCAAGCACATGTACTCCGACACAACCGGAGAGAGATTAGGCACAGGACCAACTGTTTTACGTGCTTTCTGGGGCACGGGGGTGTAATAGTGCCAACCTACCGAATCCGGGCTGATACTGAGAATTTCTTGACTGAAAATTTCAATAACTGATTTTAGTTCGACCCAGCATTAGAACCCAGAAGATCTCATAATCATCAACCGCGTTTATCACCACCCGAACGAGGCCGTCAAAAATAACGTGTCACGGCAAAAAAAGATGTCGGCATATAAAAATTTTCTACACAATTGCATACAAATAAAATTATGTGAGCCATGTAGGTCTAGTTAGAACAGTCGAAGCAGGCGCCCCAGACGTATACGATATCATAGATACTTTTTTTATAGGATAGGTTGACGAACGAGCACACAGTCCACCTGATGGTAAGTGGTTGCTGTGGTCTATAGATATATACAGAATGGGATGTTATAAAAATAAAATGTTCATTGAATAGCGTTATAAATTTAATAAGACTGTGTAAAGGGAATGGAGCGGCGTGCATTTCCCGCATACGTACCAGCGGCCTTCACCCATTTCCCTTTGTTGAATTATTTGCGGGCCTTTCAAGCCTTCCGTGCCAGTGAGATGCCTCTGTTTCGTGCACGGCTGAATGGAGGCAATACGTACACTTGTTAAAACATTTCCGCGTACACAATTTAAAGATTTATTTAACCTTGCCGTTACAGCCTCCTTAAGTCCACTGCTGAACATGGACCTCCCCCATAGATTGCTTCATAGGGGGGTATTTACCATAGTTGCCACACTTGGCGAGCGTGTTGAACTTAACTTTTTTATTTTTAGTCGTTATTGGGGAGACGCTGCTGCCCATCCCCCCATTAGTTCCCCTCTGTCGCCTCTTAGGACACCCACGGGACCGTATTGTGGGGTAGTGGGTATTTTTACACCACTAATACACGATTTATTTTAAGGAAAGGTTTAACTTATAGAACAAAGTAATTGAATATTTCAATAATTATAACTTTTAACAAAAAGTAAAAACCGACTTCAAATAGCTAAAGAAGTTAATTATTTAATACCCTTAGGGGTAAAATTTTTTCTCCAAATGTATATGGGACCAACCTTACATTATAACCTATTTAATAAAAAATCATCAAAATTGGTTAGAAAATATCGCGTAACATACATACAAAAAAACATGCGCTCGAGAACTTCCTCCTTTTTGAAGTCGGTTAAAAAGGGTAAAGAAACTGGCGTTCGCGATCGGTCATGTTATCCGGTAAGCGGTGATCTTGTCACTAAAAAATATAAAAATATAGATGAAAAAAATTTTTATTCAAAATATACATAACGGTATACGTAACTGATAAACTCAAAATAAACACAAAAATGGCTGGACCGATATTGATAAAATGATTTCTAAACGTACAAATCTAAACCCGAGATGGCTTAGATTCATGATTGGATCCGGTGGTTAGAGCAGTTGTCAACAACCAGAAATTTCTGGGCTGGGGCTCCCCAGTGCCAGCTCCTTCCACTTGACCGCATCCAGCGCAGAGCGTCTCGAATCGTCGACGACCAAGTGCTTACCGATCGGCTCGATTCAGTAGCGCTGCGAAGAAATGTTGCATCCCTTTGCATTTTCTTTCGCATCTACCACTGAGCTGTTCATGAGGAACATGAACATCCTTCATCTACATGAGGAACTGTTCGTATTAATCCCAGCCGCCAAATTTCACGAACGCACATCGCAGCAAAACTCTCGATACCATTCTTACCATCTGGATGCTTGGCGGACCAGCACTGTACGTTTCACTAGGAGTTTTCTGCCGCGTACGACCTCTCTGGAATCGTTTACCACCGGTGATTTTTCCAGATCGATACGATTTAGGGACCTACAAGGAAAGAGTTTCCTCCTTTCTAAAAGGCCGGCAGCGCAGCTGCAATTCCCCTGGTGTTGCAGTTGTTCATGTGCGGCGGTAGTCACCATCAGATGCTCGTTTGCCCCTTCTCCTATCGCTACGAGTAGTATATAACAGGTAGTAAGTACTTATTCTTAGGTTTAATTTACCACTGGATCGGAAAACACCTGAGTCCTGGAAAGAACAAGCAAGAAACTTTACCGCGTTTTCATTAACTTGCTTTTTGAATTTAGTAATTTGATTTTAAACTCACTTTCGAATGATCTAGAGACTTGAAACGGGATCTTATATTTACGCGAACACTACACATTGAAATAATACTAGTTTTTACGGAATTTATCGCGTCTATTTAACTTTTTAAATACCCGACGTTTTCTCAGTCCCGCCCGTGACCATGAGTGCTGTAAAGCGTTCGAAACGTCGGGTATTTAAAAAGTTAAATATACGCGATAAATTCCGTAAAAACTAGTATTATTTCAATCTAGAACATAGTTCAGAATCGGATAACAATGTAAGAGTATAAAAAAAAACCTAGTGTATTAAAAATTTGTAATTGATGGTTAATTATTTGAAGAAAACAGTTTACAATCATCTAATCAGTCACACAATTATTTCGAAAATCATAAAAATAACCTGGACGCGATCACCTCATTCCAAGGGGTTATACTCATTCATACATTCCTTTGTATACAATCTGTGTTTAAGATAGAATTTGAACTTGGCGGTGTCCAATTTTATAATAAAATTATAATTTTTTCTAGGATTTGTTTTTAAAGCGCACATTGTCCCATAAATGAATTACTGACCCGGTAGATGTAGAGGCGAGTTACCGGTACTACTAGCTCGTGTCTGTTCCAAGTATTTACAGTATGAATATCACTTTTTTAAACTACTTATATTTTTGTGTACATAAATTTACGTAAATGTATTTAAATGCCAAAGTTAATACATTATCTTAAGTATTTGATTCTATTTTCGTAGATTGCTTTTATGTCCCTCTTCTGCATTATTATTTTTTGTTCCTGTAGTATATATAATATTTTTAATTGGGTGATACGACGAAGATGTTGTGAACAGGTTTCATAAGTATTATTTTATAAAATAATGATGCTGTGGCACATAGACATCTTCATTTATCCTCGATTGCGAATCAAAATGCAGATACGTTGTCAGCCGTGAGAACTGAGATGGAATGCCTCGTTTCCAGTAAAAAGGGTCTCCGGTTCTCTACACTAACCATACGAAGCACAGAAGCATTAAGCTACTATTTTATGCTGGTATTCTGTGAGAGCGTGGTCTTTCCCCGGTCGAGCGATCCTATACGTGCTACACCTATACTACAATATAACTGCAGCATGGCTCTACCACGTATAAAATTTCTTGAAGGTTCTTGTTTATATTACAGTTGCAACAGATAATATGAATAATGACTTATTTTGTTTATTTTTAATTTGTCCCCAGATATCGGCTTTCTTGTCGGTGACCGTGTACATCGAGGATGTAAACGATAATGCGCCGACGTTCCTGGACCTTCCCTACAGGGTGACTGTGGACGAGTTGACACCCACTGGTAAATAAACTATTTATTATATAATTTTTATTATTCTGTAACTGCAAATTTTGGGGAGGGCGTGGGCTAAATAATAATTTTTGGGAAGCTTACTTCGTTATGATAGAATTAAGAGTGGTAAACGGGCACAGAGTTCACCTTATTCTAGGATGCTGTGGTACAAAGATACCTAGATCTGATACGTGGCTCTTTTGTGCATATTAGGTTAGCCAGAATGTCCAGGGTTGTCTGGATTCTCATAAAACTACAAATGATTTCTAGACCCCCGAAAATGTAAAAAAAATCTCGACAAATTATCATAGTTTTCATAACCGTATCATCAGAGTTTAAATAAAATTTAATGCAGCGGACGGACAAGCATTATTAATTTTATTTATTTTTTACTATAATGTAATAATAAATGCAGTGAGAACAAATGCCATATACGCGTGGCATTATAAAAATTAAATTCACCGATATAATTATTTTAGTACTTTTAGTTTTTTAAGTAATTATTACCGTGCATGATTGAACGTGGTAGAGCCATGCTGCAGCTATATTAGTACTGTAGCTGTACCACGAATGGGTCGGCTCGACCTGGGAAGGACCACGCTCTCACAGAATACCAGCGTAAAATAGCGACTTATCGCTGCTGTGTTTCGTATGGTGAGTGTAGAGAACCGGAGACCCTATTTACTGGAAACGAGGCATTCCATCTTAGTCTTCACAGGTGACAACGCATCTGCATTTTGATTCGTAATCGAGGATAGATGTAGATGTCTATGGGCCGCAGCAACCATTTACCATCAGGTGGACTGTGTGCTCGATTGTCACCCTTACGCTAAATTTTTTTTTTCTGATTAACGGAAGAAGAATTCTGGGATTTTCTTGTTTTAATAAAACTAAGCATGGCCGTGTAGTGGCGGTGTAAGAATATCAACTAACCCATATCGTCCCGTGGGTGTCGTAAGAGGCTTCAGAGTGAAATTGAAACAGGTGATGGGGTGCAGCGTCTTCCTGATGACAACTCCAAATAATAAAAAAACTGCTGTTGGCAATCCGCTCGCCAAGCGTGTCAACTATGGGGGAGGCCATGTTCAGCAATGGGCTGTTATAGGCTGTAAACGTGGATGTTTGCCGTAAAGCCAGCCAACAAACCCTCCACGGCTAGATTCTGGCCTATCTTAAGTAAGAATATTTTTTTAATCTAAGAAAATTGTTACTCCACATTAGTATTTTCTTTCTGTATCGCGGAGGGAGTTTATATATGTAATTTGCACCCGAAACAACTGTTTGTAGGCCACCCAAATACCTGCAGTTTAATTATATTGGAGCCGTCAATTATATTTTAATTTAATTTAAGATGTTTTAGTCCTGGCATATACGAGATGATCACCGTCATCTATCGATCAATCACAGAGTAAATATATCTGTAATTTATTTCACTTAATCGACTTTTGTAACTTTCATGTCATAAGATTCATCTGTTGCTCCAATTTTGTCTCTACACATGTCATTGGTTTTTTTCAGGTCTTACAATTTTCAATGGCATCCGCGCTTTCGATCGGGACAAACCTAACACCCCCAACTCGGACGTCCAATACAGCATCACTGACGGCGATCCCGAAGGACGGTTCTCCCTGGAGAGTTCCCACAAGCCGGCACTGGTGTTGGCCAAGCCGATAGACTTCGACGCGGGCGACAGAGAATTTTTTTTGACAGTTACTGCCTCTGTACGTATTAAGAACTATATTTTTTATAGGTTTGTAGAAGATTAATGAAATGTTGCGTAGCTATTTCAATAGTTCTGACAAAATGGATGATAATTCATAATATCTTATAATACAATTAACACGTGCAATAAATCTGAACTTGTCCCAAAGTAGGTACAAACTATTTATAACAATATTCCGAAATAATATTTAAAATAAAAATGTTGTAAATACAATTTTTTTATATTTATTATGAGTTGAGTTCTATTAATATATAACTATAAATGAAAATGAAAAGATAAATATACATAAATATCAATAAAATAAAATAAACATAAAAATACATAAATAAATAAAAGCCCAACCAGATGGAGGCCCTCAGCAGGGGAGACCAAACGGCCGAGGGTTAGGGGGAAAGGGAAAGAAACCGGCGGACGATGCGGGCGGTATCGAGGAGCACCGCCTTCTGCATTTGAGCCTGGAGCGGTCCACCAGTTCAGGCCTCGATGACCCGAGAGGCTGACTGGGATTAGCCCGTTCGCAGAGACGACTACAGGAATAATTTCGGCCGGCAGACCACCCCACATGTCGGTCACCTCGTGAGCCAGCTCCAGATATTTTGTTTGCTTATCTGTTTCGGCTTTCATGAGGACGACGACGGCTTTCTCGTCATACGGAATGGTAATGTCTACCAAAAATATCCTTGACTGTGCCCGGTCCATCAGCACAATATCAGGCTTATTCGCAAGAAACCGGCAGACGATGCGAGAGGTATCGAGGAGCACCGCCGCGTGCATTTGAGCACGGAGCGGTCCGTCACGGAGTCCCAGTCGCCTCAGATGACCCGAGAGGCTGACTGGGATTAGCCCATTCGCAGAGATGACTACAGGAATAATTTCGGCCGGCATACCACCCCACATGTCGGTCACCTCGTGAGCCAGCTCCAGATATTTTGTTCGTTTATCTGTTTCGGCTTTCACGAGGTTCTCGTCATACGGAATGGTATATTATATATATTTAATATATTATTATTTTTTCATTTCTTGCGGATTTCCGGTGAATAGAGGATATCTGCAGTAGAACCAGAGTAACCGACACAATCTAACGGATTAGTGAGCTAAAGTGGTAATTTGTCGGCCATGTAGCATGAAGAACGGATATCCTATAGAATAGACAGGTTTTCGAGTGGCAACTTCGGGACAAAAATCTAGATGCCACAAATACTTGTTCCGTGGGAAATTCGAACCCGCGGCCGTCAGCGCCGTAACTTATTGCTAAGTCACTGCGCCACGGAGCTGTCCATTATATTCATATTTAAATTAAGATATTTTTACTCCTGACGTATAAGAAATGATCACGGTCATTTATCGTTCAATCAGGGTAAATATAATTCATTTATTTCCCTTAATTGACTCCTCTAACTCTCATGTCATAAGATTCATCTGTTGCCCTCCACTAGATGGAGTGACGACCTAGTAAGAGATACAGGAAGTCGATGGATTCAGGTGACTCATGGTCGTGCTTTGTGACATTCTTTAGAGAATGCCTATGTTCAGAAGTGGACTTTTGAAGGGCTGTAATGATGATAATGATAGTGATGTTGATGTTTCTTTCCTATCGTAGTTCGGCTTGGTGCGCAAGCAACTGGAGTTCGATATCCCAATTCTTTTTTAATTTTCTTTAAACGCCAAGTGTGTTATCATAACGAAGATGGCGTGGAGATAACCTGCATATCCAATTTCCCGTGTTGTTCACAATATTTGAAGATATGTAAAGTATGTCAACCTGCATCGGGACGGCGCAGCAACGCTTGTCCGCTTAAAAATCTCACTCACACCATTCTAGTTGTTATATATGGACCAACACGTGGCATAGTAATACTGTGTTTTTATTACCTTATACGTTTTTATATCCTTATTCCTCTTGAAAATTCCAGTCAGAAAGCGAAAATAACAATTATATAGACGTAATTTCACGTCGTATCATTTTAGTAAAGGCACTATTTAAATATCATCACAATTATCATCATCACCGATACGACCTGGGGCGCTTCAAGAAAAGAGCTTACTCCTTTCTAAAGGGCCGGCAACGCACCTGCGATTCCCCTGGTGTTGCGGTTGATCATGGACGGCGGTAGTCACTTAACATCAGGTGAGCCGCATGCTCGTTTGCCCCCTCTTCTATAAAAAAATAATAATAAAAAAAACTTTACAAGGACAAGCATCCAGACCCGGAACAATTACTTGTTGGCCATACGAATCTTTGCACCGTGCGGGATTCGAACCCGCGGCCCTCAGCGCAGCAACTCATCGGTAAGCCACTGTGCCAAGGAGCAACCGTTATTGGAACGGGGCTGCCGTTCCCGAACCTTTCTACACGGTTGTTGGTTCTTCGAGCTACATGGTCGGTCTATTGCCACGTCAGCTTATATTTCACTAGCTACAGCTTACATAGTAATTTATTTCTAGGATCGTGGATCTCCACCTCGCGTCTCCAACGCCACGGTGCACGTCATTGTAGCGGACAACGATGACCTGCCTCCCAAGTTCACGCAAGACGTCTACAGGACAAGTATACCCGAGTTCTATCCGCTGCTAGTGAGTATATCTCGCCATTTGAAAGTATTAGACTAGATCCGTTGTAATAAAATTTGGTTCCCCAAGAATACGCGATTACTTTTTAGCTGCTACACATAGATTTAACAAAACAGCTAGGAGTCAAAGTGAAAAGCTTAATAGTAGTCATCTTGGAATTGGCGGTGAGAAGCAGCCAGTCTTTGTCATGGAGCATCTGTCACCCACCCAAAAGGAAATACGTGCTGTAGCGAGATCTAAGGCAAAATAACTCAACTACAAATTTGTCTGGGTCAAGGGAGGAAGAATATTTATGCGTGAGATGGAAACATCCGAGTACAAATTATTGAAGACCATCCAAGAACTGTCTGAACTAAAATAGTTGTCAAAGCAAACTTAGTGTATAAAGGTGTTTTATTGTTTATCTAAATTATTTTGTTTATGTAACCTGTATGTTAATACATCATTTGAACATATATTATCAAAATGTAAGAGGCTTAAACACAAATGCGGTCGAGGTACGTCAACATATTATTAATAATAAATACGATCTTTATATATTCACAGAAACTTGGCTTAATAACAGTTTCTATGACACTGAAATCTTTGCCAGTGGCTATGCAGTGTACAGACGAGATCGTGAAACCTATCCTCTATCAGGGCTAAAAAAAGGCGGGGGCGTACTTATTGTTGTATCCAAACGACTCCTGTCAAGACGTATCGTAGAGTGGGAAACTGATTGTGAAGATATTTGGGTGTCGGTTACATTTAACTCTACCAAAAATCCAAATACAATACTATTATGCGCTGTGTATTCACCACCTCCAGTCACTAAAGATACTTTAGATATTTTTATAGATAAAGCAAATGGTATACTTGGTTCCCGAACTGATAGAGAAAGCATACTCACTGCCGGTGACTTCAATTTGAGTGGAATAACTTGGCTATGCAATCATAGAAACGACATCTTTAATCATATGTTACCATCAGGGTTCGGTAACAATGAGCTCTTATGTAAATTTGTTGATTTTATAAATCTCAATAACTTAAATCAATTTAACTATGTAACAAACATAAAAAATCGTATATTAGATTTGATACTTTGCAATAAAGAAGTCTTGAATATTATCAAAACACAAGATCCAGTAAGAAATATTGAAAAGTTTCACCCTCCTCTTGTAATTAAAATGAAAATCTTATTAGAAAGTAATAGAAAAGTACTTCTTACCAAACGTAATTTTTATAAAGGTAACTTTAGAGCTATAAATACTTACCTGAAATCGGTGTCATGGGAGAATGAATTTAGTTCTTGTTATAATCGTAATGAAATGGTAAAAAGATTCTATGAACTGCTAAACTATGCCGTTGAAAAGCATATTCCTATGACTAAAGCCGACCATGGGCCTTATCCTGTGTGGTACTCATCCCATTTAATCAAAATTTTAAAACAAAAATATAGATACCATAAAAAATAAAAAAGTATGAAAATCCATAAGATCAAATAGAATTTGAATATTTAAGACAAAACTGTAAAAAGCTAGTAAAGGAGTGCTATAATAAATACATAAATACAATGGAGACAGATATTAAAACCAACCCCAAACTATTTTGGACATATATAAAAAATCTACGAAAGAATTGCTCATTATATCCTAATACCATGACCTGTAAAGACGATAAATCATCAGATACAAAGCTAATAGTGGACATGTTTGCAACTCATTTTTCTTCAATATATGAAAGAGATCTTAATGATAACAATTTAAAAAAATAATATGTACACTGGACTAATAGCTAATTCCTTTGATGTTATCGGGGAAATTCAATTTAGACCAGAAGATGTCAAAAATAAACTGAAAAAGCTAGATGTCATAAAGGGAGTAGGCCCAGATAATATACACCCACTACTTTTATTAAACTGTGCAGATGCGTTGACTTTTCCACTAACTTTTCTATACAATCGATCTCTCAAAATGGGCATATTCCCTAATGAATGGAAACTAGCAAGAGTAGTCCCTATATTTAAGAATGGAGCAAAAGAATTAGTAGTTAACTACCGTCCAATTTCTATCTTATCAGCAATACCAAAAGTATTTGAATCATTAGTTCACTCTGTAATTTATCGGCATACTCAAAAATACATCAACGAAAATCAGCATGGTTTTATGTCAAGGAGGTCGACTAACACTAATCTTATTCTTTTCACTTCAGATTTTAAAGAAAAAGTAGATCAAGGCTTACAAGTTGACGCCATCTATACAGATTTTTCGAAAGCTTTTGACAAAGTAAATCATAGCATCCTGATTAATAAATTATATTTATTTAGAATTATATATAACCTACTGGAGTGGTGTAAATCTTACCTTTCAAATCGCTTTTTTAGGGTTGTAATTGATGGCAAACAATCTGGGCTATTTGAAGCATTTTCGGGAGTTCCCCAAGACTCGATTTTGGGACCGTTATTTTTTAACATTTTTGTCGTGTGATAAACCATAGTGATGTATATCTTTTTGCTGACGATCTTAAAATTACGAAAACAGTTACTACGGCTTCAGATGCGCAACCCCTTCAGGAAGACATTAATAATCTTCACGAATGGTGTAACAACAATAAAATGTTTCTAAATGCTACAAAATGCTATCACATTAAGTACAGCAGAAAATGTAATAAATTTGACTCGATATACACTATAGCAGGCACAAAGTTGGAAGAAGTGATCACTATTCGAGATCTTGGTGTCATAATGGATGGTCATCTGAAGTTTGCGGATCATCATGATAAGATAGTGGCGGAAGCAAATAGGTCGCTTGGCTTCATATTGAGAAACACAAAGGATTTTAAAAAAAACCAGCCACTGTCATTAAGCTTTACAAGAGTTTTGTAAGAAGCAAGCTTGCGTATTGCAGCACAGTATAGTGTCCCACTTATAAAACTCACATAGAGAGGATCGAAAAGGTTTTGAAAAGTAATTCGTAGTTTAACTTACCGTTTTGGTACTCCAAGAAATGTCAAAAATGAAAAAAAATGTCAAACCTATCATGAAAAATTAAGAATTTTCAACTAGATCCCCTTTCCCTACGCCGAAATCACTTAGACATGTCACTCCTACATAAGATTATAAATAATTACATGGACTGTGTCCCGTTATTGTCCAAATTTCAATTTAACGTACCATGCAGAATACCAAGATATCAGTGTAGCCTTTTTAAGATTAATTTTTGTAGAACCAACTTGGTCGCAACTCCCCAGTGATCCGTATATCTCGCCTGTACAACAAGGTCACCAATGAACCCGACCTCGACGTTCACCATGATACCCTTGCTCAATTTATTGCCAAGCTAAAGCATGTTGACGTACGTTAAACTCTAGTTGCACAATTAACTTTTATTTCTTTATCATTACTTTTTATTTTATTTTTTATTTAAGAACATACTTTTCTCAATTTTGTTTAACATTTGTAACACAACGCATGCTATGATTGCCTATCTGCCTGAATTATAAGAGCAGTTAATCATGTAAATTTATAACGCTGTAATGTAACCAAACATTAATTGCTCTTTCTTATGTTGGTAATCCAAATAAATAAAAAAATATCCATATACGGCAATCAATGGGGGAGCTCGATGCTCAGCCGTGGATAATAAAAGGCAGTATGGTATTGGGAATGGTAATTGGTGTGTGACACTGGCGAGTGCTATTGTCCTTAAGTAAGTTGTGGGTGCGAGACAGCGGTGTGCTGTTGTTGACGAGTGTAGTTGTTGTTCTGAGTTGCGTGTGTGACGTGCGTGCGTGTGTGCGGCAGGGGCGGCGCGTGCACCGCGAGCTGGTGTTCCCGGCGGCGGTCCGCGCGTTTGACCGCGACGCGGGGCTCGGTGCGCCGCTGCGCTACCAATTGCTCGCCGGCAACGAGCGCGGCTACTTCTCGCTCGGACCCCTCAACGCCACGCTCTTCCTCGATAAAGAGATCGACCTGGAAGCGGAGACGTTGCCCGGTGAGTACACGTTCAAGAAGTTCGGTAAGATTAAGTTGAAATTATGACTGGGAAAATGCTGAAACCAAGCTGGCTGAAATCATCACCTGGAAGACGCTGAAACTTTACCAGGTACATTAACGAACATAAAGTAAGGTAAGAGACCGCTAACGTCACGTTATTTTTCGACAGGAAGATCGATTTAGAAGTAGAGACATTTCCTGGTAAGTTCACGTTCAAAGAAGTTAGGTAAGAGCTCAATTTGGCGTTTTTAGACGTTCTGATAAGTTAAGCCCTATGAAGACATAACAAGGAAGACACTGAAACTTTACCAGGTAGCTTAATGTTCAGAAAGTGAAGTTAGAACTGGCTGAAACTACGACAGGGAGATCGGAATGAACGCTGATGCCTTACCAGATAGGTTTACATCCATTAAACGAGGTAAGAGGCCTGGAGATATTACAGGAGGATCGATTAAGATGCTGAGATATTACTTGGTAAGTTCACGATCAGAGAAGTAAGAACACAATTAAGTTATGACAGGGAAGACGGTACAACTTTACCAGATAAGCTAATAATCAAAAAGTAAGCTTAAAACTCGTTGACACCAAAACAGAGAGATCGATCTGGATGCTGAAACCTTACCAGGTATGTTAAGGACCAGAAAATTAAGCTGAAGTCACGATAGGAACGTTGACCTCGACACTAAGACGTTACCGGGTAAGTTCACATCACAAGAAGTGGGTTAAGAGGCCCCTGAATAGCGCTGTTTCTCTACAGGAATCAATTTGGATGCGAAGACATACCCGGGTAGTTATACAACCTGATCTATTCACACACTTAAGATTGAGTTAATGGTTAGAAAGTGAGGCGAGAGCCCGCTGAAGTCACGACAGAGATATTGAAGTGATGCTGAAACTTTATCAGATAAGTTTACGTTCAGAAAGTTAGACTAAAACCCGATGAAGCCACGACAGGGATAACGAACGACATCTATACGGTGAGGCTTTGCCAGTAAGGTTGCCTCCTTACCAGAGAAAAGGTCTTCGATTCTCTACACGTTGGTATTTTGAGTAGCAAAACCTCCCGTCATCTACTACGAGTAAAAGTCTATCACATGATAGAAGTCATATGCAAGGTATATATTCCTCGGCACTCCGTCGTTCACTCTCAAAATCATTTAGAGGCAAAATTTGTGTGGTATTATCGACATTGATATGTCTTACCTAGGGTAGTGGTGTTAAAATATCGTTGAGGTAGAGTTGTGAGTTGAGGTGCACGCAATTGAGAGGAGACGTGCTATTTAAGTTAAGTGAGACAAATCAAATCACATAATAGATTTAATAGATAGACGCAATGTAAAGTCTGATTATATTGTAAGGATTTGTGCCAATAGTAACCTATGAGATAATTAACTGAAAGACTTTTTTTCAGGGAACACCTTCGTTCTTCAAATCGAAGCAGCTCAAGTCGACAATCCACTCAAGACTGCTCAAGCACGTATTGAAGTAGAGATCCTGGACCTAAACGACAATTTGCCGGAGTTCGAAGTGGATTTCTACAATATAAGCATCGTGGAAAATTTGCCCAATGGTGAGCCTCTTAATCTTTTCGGTAAATACGGTCCTTGTAACTGTAGTAAATTTAAAAAAACGAGGGATTGCACTCCGGGAGTGCCGGCAGAAGTGAAAACTTGAATATTAACGTTGTGCATTTTTGATATTTTGTAGTGGTTAGGGAATCATTTTGCACGAATTGCTTTAATTATCAGTATAGAAGTACTATCATTTATGTGGTAGAGTACAATATTTATTTATTGCGCTATCGTACACAACTAAACGACACAGCAGGCGCAGGCATACATTTTCGCCCCGCCGTAGAAAGTGAAGGGGATACTTCCTCTCCTACGCCGTACCGGCTGTCTCTTTCTCTCCATTCATCTTACGCATTTTCGATCAGGGTCACGTGTCCTGACGCGAGTTTAACATTTTTTACCCATTACAATAAAAGTGTACAATGCCGCTAAAGAAGTTTTCACTTCAAAAATGCGTGGCATACTTCCCGAGCTAGCTACCCGCCCGTGAGATCTATAACTGTGACAGAGGTTTTATTCTGAATTAGTAGTATACATAGATGTCTTTGTACGAGGTAGTCATAAGAAGCGACTAATGTGAATGTCAGGAAATTCTTGAGTTTTCCCATAAATTGTGGAATCGGACTACATCGCTTGTGTCAGACATTCGTCAATCCGCCTATCGAGTGTGTGACGATTAACGCACATTCTCCCTGCAACGAGAGAGGACATTCAGCAGTAGCTACCACTACCATCTCGAGACGGCGAGGCCGGCTCTGCTCTTTCTGAACGAGACGCAGGTGTCTCCGGCTGATGTCTCGTATCTCTCCTACCCGGGGTACAAACTGGAACACTCCTTTGTGCCTCGGGCTAGAGTTTGCGTTTACGTCAGAGAGGACATCTGTTCTCGACGCCTCGGCAGACTTGAAGGTTCGGACCTGTCCATCCTTTGGCTACGCGTAGACAGTGACAACCATCCGCGCGTCTTCGGGTGCCTCTATAGGTCCCATAGCGGTAATGCCGAAACAGACCGACTATTCGACCACGTCCAAATGGCTGCAGATTCGTTGCTACAGCAGATCCCCTCCGCAGAGATCGTGATCCTCGGTGACTTTAACGCCCATCACGCCGAATGGCTTGGTTCACGTTTAACCGATCATGCGGGGGAGATCTATTCATGATTTTGCCTTGGCATATGGTCTGACACAACTGGTTATTTCGCCTACGCGGATTCCAGATGTGGAGGATCATGCACCTTCCCTGTTGGACCTTCTGCTGACCTCTCACCCGGACGGATATCAGATTTCCGTCGACGCCCCTTTAGGCTCCTCGGACCATTGTCTGGTCCGGAGTGTGGTGCCACTCACGCTGAAATCGCGGTTACATTCTGCAGACTGCCGCCGTGTTTGGCACTATAGGTCAGCCGATTGGGATAGGATGCGGTCTTTCTTTGCATCCTACCCTTGGGGGCGGGTTTGCTTTTCGCCGGATGATCCCAACGTTGTTGCGGATTCTGTTGCTGATGTGGTACTTCAGGGTATGGAACTTTTTATTCCTTCCTCTGTGGTGCCCATTGGAGGCAAGTCTCAGCCATGGTTTGGTCGCTCCTGTAAAATAGTATCATGCTATAAGCAGGAGTGCTACCAAGCCTGGGCTGATGCATCAGCGTCCCGGGATGTAAACACCAGCGCTCTAAAAAAGAAGTATAATTCCGCCTCTAGGTCCTTCAATAGAGTCATTGCCAAGGCAAAGTCAGAGCACATAGGCAGAATTGGCGAGAAACTAGTTCGCCTTCCTTCTGGAACCCGTGCATTCTGGTCTCTCGCCAAGGCTGTCCAGGGGAATTTCTGTCAGCCATCTCTTCCATCTATGCACAGGGAGGACGAGTCACTGGCCCATACCGCAAAGGAGAAAGCCGATCTTCTAGGCTCTTTCTTTGCGTCTAACTCGACTCTCGATGACGGGGGGAGTACTCCGCCGACCATCCCGCGGTGTGAGTGCTAAATGCCGGAATTGCACTTCACACAGCGCTCGGTTCGCAAAGCACTCCTCTCCCTGGCCATCCACAAGTCGAGTGGGCCTAACGGAATCCCCCCAATTGTGCTGAGGACGTGTGCTCCAGAGTTGGCACCGGTTTTAACGCGTCTTTTCCGGTACTCCTACTCCCTAGGCGTAGTCCCAAAATCATGGAAGACGGCTTACGTCCACCCGATCCCTAAAAAAGGCGACCGCTCTGACCTGTCCAACTACCGGCCAATCGCCATCACCTCCTTGTTCTCCAAAACAATGGAGTCCATTGTAAACTGCCAGCTCATGAGGTACCTTGAAGATCACCAGCTGATTAGTGACCGCCAATACGGTTTTCGCCGTGGTCGGTCAGCTGGTGATCTTCTGGTCTACCTAACTCACAGATGGGCGGAGGCAGTAGAGTTCAAGGGGGAGGCATTGGCCGTTAGTTTGGACATTGCGAAGGCCTTCGATCAGGTTTGGCACAAAGCGCTTCTTTTGAAGCTCCCTTCCTATGGGCTTCCCGAGAAATTGTGCGATTGGATCACCAGCTTTCTTGCAGATCGGAGCATCAAGGTCGTTGTAGACGGTGCAAGCTCCGATTGCAAGCCTATTAATGCTGGTGTTCCACAGGGCTGCGTGCTATCGCCAACGCTGTTTCTTCTGCATATCAATGACATGTTGCATACCCGTAACATTCATTGCTATGCAGATGACAGCACTGGTGATGCTCTTTACACCGGCCGAGCCAATATTTCTCGGGAAAACGTCTCCGAGTGCCGGGTCAAACTTGTGTCTGAAGTCGAGTCTCTGCTGGACAGAGTCTCGGATTGGGGGTGACTAAAGCTAGTCCAGTTTAACCCCCAGAAGACACAAGTATACGCATTAACCGCTAAAAAGAACCCCTTTGTCGTATCCCCTCAGTTTCAAGGCACTCCCCTTGTTGCCTCAGCCAGTATCGGAATCCTCGGCGTCGACATATCGAGTGACGTGCAGTTTCGTGGTCACTTGGAAGGGAAGGCCAAATTGGCCTCTAAAAAGCTTGGCGTGCTCAGCAGAGCGGGACAGTATTTCATGCCGGCACACCGCCTGCAACTTTACAAGGCACAGGTTCGGCCGCACATGGAATACTGTTCCCATCTCTGGGCTGGGGCTCCCCAGTACCAGCTTCTTCCACTTGACCGCATCCAGCGCAGAGCGGCTCGAATCGTCAACGACCTAGTGCTTTTCGATCGGCTCGATTCACTGGCGCTGCGAAGAGATGTTGCATCTCTTTGCATATTTTATCGCATCTATCACGGGGAGTGCTCTGTGGAATTGTTCGGATTAATCCCAGCCGCCAAATTTCGTGAACGTACTACACGTCAAACGTCCCGAGTTTTCTTCCACGTACAACTTCTCAGTGGAATAGTTTACCACCGGCGATTTTTCCGGACCGATACGACCTGGTGACCTTCAAGAAAAGAGCTTACTCTTTTCTAAAGGGCCGGCAACGTACCCGCAATTCTCGTGGTGTTGCGGTTGATCATGGGCGGCGGTAGTCACTTAACATCAGGTGAGCCACATGCTCGTTTGCCCCTTCTTCTATAAAAAAGTGGACTTTTATTGTCGGATGGTGAAGAAGAAAAAGAACAATATTTGATCATATTAATCACAAAATTGGAGTTAAAACCAGGCAAAGAAAATTTAATATATATTTTTATAGGTTTTAGTGTTCTCCAAGTGGTGGCAACGGATAAAGATCAAGGAGACAACGGAGAGTTCACGTACCAGCTCAGTGATCCAGAGGGAGCCTTTTCCATTGACCCACGAAGCGGCTGGCTCACTGTTAGGAACCAGGTAAGATGTCAATGTAATTTTGGTTAATGATTTTTTATATTTATTCAGACTGTCTCGTGATCCTGAGTTTGAATCCCGGATTAGGCCAAAACCAGTTATTGAGTGTTTGGGTCAAGAAATTCTCATTAGCGGCCCGGAGTCAAGAAGTTGGAGAAACACTGCCAACTTCGCATGCAAAGCACTTAAAGTCGTTTGTACTGCGCCTGATCTCTCTCCGGTCGCATCGAATAGCCATCCAATCGGATTATCACCTGCACCTGTGTTTGCTCTTTTACACTCGCTCTGTAATTATGTCCTGCGCAGATCGGTAATCTCCGTTGAGTCCCAAGCTCGGTCTGAAGGATTAATATGTTATTAAAGTTAAAGTTACAGCCTATATACATCCCACTGCTGGGCACAGGCCTTCTCTCATTTCTGAGAGCGTTTATAGAATATGTTATTACTCTCCATTAATCTTATGTGGTAGCTTTCTAACTCACTTTTGTGTTTAACTAACTTGTCCTTAGGCCTAAGTGGTTAAGGACAAGGTCCATTGTGAATATAACTTTGTTCTAGTTGCGAATTTACAAATCCTTGACCTTTGAACAATAAAATACGAACAAAGTTTATGTACAAACATATTTGGACACTTGGTGATTAATTTATATTATAAACTGGCTTTTTCCTGTAGCTTTGTTCACGTTGATTTCGTTTCACTAAAATCTTTAGGAGTGTTCCATGCCAAAATTCGGGATTACATCGTTGTTTGTCTCTCAACGTTCGTGATTTCTCAGAGATTTAATAATATAATAATATAATTCGTTATTATTTGTTATCGTTTACCGCGTATTCGTTATAAATATAATTCGTGGTATATTAAAAAGTCGTATGAAATAATAATTCACTCCGTAATTTTATTGCAGTGTAAAATTACGAAGCGCCATTTTTATCAAATCCAGATTTTGTGTTTTGAGTCCTAATGAATATGAGTTTTTTTTTGGTTTATAAATACAGGATTTGTTAGTCACTTTAGCACAGCGCCACCTATTCGAATCCAAGCATAGAGAACACATTTTTTATTAATATTTTATGTATTTATTTTATCCTTATATTTTCAGCTTTGAATGTTCTGTTTTTTGTTAAGATTTCTTCATGACTGATAATAATTATTTCTCTTGGTTCCTTCCTTCTTAGTACTCCCAGACTATAATTAGTTTCTGAAGTTATGTTGTATAGCTGTCGTTTTAGCGTTTATTTTCTGTTACTTATTATAAACCAGTGCTTGACCACAGTCCCACCTGGTGGTAGGTGGTGTTGAAGCGGTAGATGGTAAATCACACTCTCTTAGCGTAACAAAAGCCTATTCATTATGGAATATCGACAACTGAGGAGTAAAGACCCGCCGACCGCCTGATCGTCCGATGGTGGAAAGAATAGGGAGGAATTAAAGTGCGCAATTTCTGCATAGTACATGTTTGCAGATAGATTATAGCAGCAGCATAGTCATAGATCATAGAGCATAGAGTCCAACTACTCACATTTTTAACGCGGCATCTTCACTACTATATTGTTTAGTAAGTAATCATCATTAATTTATTTACAGACAGTTTTAGACCGAGAGCAGCACTCCTCACTAAGGATGAAAGTGTACGCCAAGGAAAAAAACCCGAGCGTAGTCGGCACGTTTTTAGACAAGCAGAGGCTCTCAAAATGGCGACGTAATCCCACCACACTAACGCAGCCTCCCAACGAAAAGACCACATACGTATTCCCGGATAAAATCGGAACCAAGAGCGAGAACTTTGAGTACTTCGAAGACGAACATCAGCTAATGTCATTCGTGACTGTTGACGTGACACTACTCGACGCAAACGATAACAACCCGGTCTTTGTTCCGAGCAATCTTTACGAATTTACCGTGAAGTCGAATGCGAAAATCGGTACATACATTGGTAGTGTTAAAGCTGTGGATCCAGATTTAGGGAAGAACGGTGTAGTGTTTTATGATTTACAGAGGACTAGTAATTTGACGATTACTGCACCGTTTCAAGTGGATGCGAAAACCGGTGTGATTACTTCGGCAGAATCACCGATATTGGAAGGAAGGCATGCTTTGTTTATCGAGGCGTCTGATCAACCGGCCAATCCGAGTGAGAGAAGATATTCATTGGCTGTGGTAACAATAGATGTTACCAGGTCAAATATTGGTAAATATGTATTTATAAGTAATTTAAAACTTATACTTTACTTTACTTTACTTACTTACTTATCTTCACGCACAATCCCTAACGGGGTAGCCAGAGAGAACAGATCGCCAAGTGTCACTATCCTTACATACCTCTTTCGCTTCTTTCAGGTTCATTATCTTCTTCATACATGCACGTCTAGGTATCCGAGTACTCTTGACCCTCCCCTCTTAGAGCAATTTGCTCACATGGTCTTCGAAAGTTAGTCTCGGTCTACCTCGACACCTTTTAATATTTACTTTCGCTCTATATATTTTCTTCACCATTCGGTCTTCACTCATTCGTTCAACGTGCCCAAACCATTGGAGTACGCCCCTATCAATTTTTGTGATAAGGTCATCTTTCAATCCTGCCATATTGCGAATCTCTTCGTTTCGCTTTCGGTCGGCTAAGGTAACGCCACACATTTTACGAAGAGATCGCGTCTCCACTGCATTCAACTTGCTTTTATTGCTTCTTCTGGCATACCCAGGTTTCGCTGCCATATAACAAAGTCGGTACCAACACTGCGTTATGTATTGCAAGGCGTGCACTCTTCACAAACTTATACAGTTTAGAAATTGTTACGTGGTAGAGCCATGCTGCAGCTATATTATGGTTGTAGCACAAATGGGTAGCTTAATGCTGCTGTGTTTCGTATGGTGAGTGTAGAGAATCGGAGACTCTTCTTACTGGAAACGAGACATTCCATCTTAGTCCTAAGGAGTGACAACGCATTTACATTTTAATTTTTAATCGAGGATAGGTGTAGATGTCTATGGGCCGCGGCATCCATTTATCATTAGGTGGACTGTGTGCTCGTTTGTCACCCTTATTCTAGAAAAAAATGCACATTTAAGTGGTTATCTAGAAGCGTGGGGAATAGATACAAATTTTAACCTTAACATAAAGAGAATAAATCTACACAATTACATATATTTTAACCATTATAATGTTAATATAAATATAAATTGATTTCAGATAAACCAGATTTTATCGGGGCGCCGTATGAGTTTTGGGTTGGTTCAAATGTTGGTATTGGAACTAGCGTTGGACAAATTAGAGTCAATGAAGCTATGGAGAAATCTGAAGTTTCGTATGACCTTCTGCATGGATATGAAGAAGGAGGTAACGCATTAAATAAATATTTATATGCAATATATATAAAGTTACAGCCTATATACGTCCCACTGCTGACCACAGACCTCCCCTCATTTCTGAGAGGGTTTTAGGGCAAGGAAGTGTCGTGTGAAGTGTTGGCGAAATTCGCATGTCTTCGAAATAATTTTTTTCTTATTCCTGGTTTCCTCACGATGTTTTCCTTCACCGCCGAACACGTGATAAATCAGTATTTAAAATTTCAATTTACAATTTTATTGGTGCCGGCGGGGATCGAACCCGGGTTAATCGCGGGTTAATCGCGTAATAAAATAATAATTAATTTTTTTTAAAACCTTGGGAGTAAGTTTACGCAAGGTTTTTCTTCTGTATCATGGGGTGAATTTATACTAGTTATTAGTTATAACGTAAATTGCACAAGGACAAGCATCCGAACCCGGAATAGTTATTTGTAGGCCATACAAATACTCTTTCCGTGTGGGATTAAAACCCGCTGCCTCAGCATTGTAATTCTTTGCTATGCAACTGCGCCACGAAGCCGTCAATTAACAATATCATTGGTGCCTGCGGAGATCGAACCCTAAAAATAATACTAAGTAATACTTATTTTTTTCCAGTACCGTTCGCAGTGGAGGAGCGCTCCGGAGTCATAACAGTGATACACGAGCTATCAGAGTTCGACCGTCCCATGTATGAGTTCGAAGCGGTCGCCATACAAGACAGGATCAACTTGACTATATCCACCAACGCGACGGTACACGTCGTGGACGCCAACGACGAGAGAGGCATTTTATTGAAGTAACTAACTTTGATTTTTAGTTAAAGTTTACCGTTACATCCTATAAAAGTTCATTGCTGAACATAGGCCTCTCCCATAAATCGGTTCATAGGGGGGATATTTGCCACAGTTGCCACGCATGGCAAACGGGTCGGCAACCGCGGTTTATTATTTTTAGTCGTTATTACGAAGACGCTGCTTGCCATCTTCTGATTTGTTTTCCTGTTTCGTCGCTTACAGCTACGAGATGTGTAGTGAATATTCTATATACTGTAGTGAATATTCTAATAATATTCTTACACCGCTGCTATACGGTTAAAGTTACACAAAGTTTACTTCCCTAGTAAATTTTATCTTGTTTTTGATTAAATGTGTGTTGGTGTACATAAGAAATACAATGATTGATTCATTCATTCTCTAATAGTATTACAATTGATGTCTCAAACCTACACGAAAATTTTACCTTTTTTTTAAAATGAAGGGCAGTCCACATAATAATATTTAAATGCTATAAGCCCATTGACATCTGCACCTTTCTGAAATTAAGAATCAAATCCGAATGCGTTATCTCCGAGCACTAACATTAAAATCTTCGATTCAAGTAAAAAATTCTCCAGTTTTTTATAATTATCTACAAAACACAGCACCCATTAGTTGCTATTTTACGCAGGTATTTTGTGAAAGCGTGCTCCTTCTCCCTTCGAGCCAACCAATACGTGCTACAACTATAATACAACTGAGAGAGTTGCTCTACTACGAGTTACCATACATCATCAAGTCTAACATAGTTTGGTTATTATATTTCATTATAAAATTTTACAAAATTTCAGGGGTACCCAATCGCCAATCGTATTTCATGTTAAAGAAAATGTGGCAGGAGCTATAATTGGACAAATATTCAACGTCAATAAAACTGCGTCTTCAATTAACAACACTGGAAATATAAGATTTATAATTGCGAACCAACAAGATGTCGAAGATGATATTGCAATTGGTAAGATTTTTAAACGTTTTCATTTTATATTACTAGTAATGTTTATTTTAACCTCTGTTTAACATTTTCTAGGCCAAGATGGGACTATTTATACTCAAAAACCTCTTGATCGAGAGAAGAGAGACGCTTATAGAATGACAGTAATTGCTGAATTTAACAGGGGAGTCATATCTGGGGCAGGAATTTATCAAGTCAATATTTACGTAGATGATGAAAATGATAACCCACCGATATTCGATATGCCCGTTTATGAAGGTTTTATAATGGAAAATGCAAAGAAAGCTACGGAAGTAAAAATGACTAATAAAATTAGAGCACTTGACGCCGATATTGGTCATAACGCAGTTTTTTCTTATACTCTGTTTGGAGATGGTCACGATTCATTTCATGTAAATGAAGAGAGTGGCGTAGTTACTTATATTGGAAGTAAATTGGACCGAGAAGAAAAAGGTTTGTACATATTAAAAGTAGTGGCTAGAGACAAAGGAAGTCTGAAATCAGAGGCAAAACTTACAATAACAGTTCTTGATGAAAATGATAATGAGCCAAAATATAATCAAATCATTATACCATTGGGAGAAAATGTGGATTTGTTAGAGAAAGATGACAAAAGTGATTTAAAAATATATAGAGAATGGAAAAATGATGTAAATAGCGGAGTAACAAAAATAGAAGTTAAACCAAAGAATAAATTTTTACCAACATTTGCCAAGGGCCCCTTGTTTACAGTTCCAGAAAATATTGCGATTGGATCGACAATATTAAAATTAAATGCGATAGACATGGACAGTGGTGCAAATGGTCAAATACATTACGAATTTGTTTCAGAAACATTTATGCCTCCAAGGGCCTTGTCTGGGAACGAGTTACAAGTTAGAAGATTTTTTGTGATAAATGAGAGGTATGGACATGTTGTCGTAGCTAGGACTTTACCTCCGGAATCGGAATTTAGATTAAATATTTCTGCTATAGATGGAGGGGAATTGAGTGATCATATAACAATCCGAGTATTTATCAAAGATGTCAATGACCATTTCCCTATGTTTAAGAAATCTTGGTACAACTTTAATGTTGAAGAAGCTCAATATAGTAGAAGAGTATTGGGCAAAGTTGATGCAACGGATGCTGATTTCGGTCAAAATGCTAATTTAACGTACTTCTTACAGCCTGATAGTAAAGACTTGCCATTCGAAATTTCACCCCTTAGCGGAGTTCTAAGTATAAATGGAGAACTTGATAGAGAAAAAGAGGATAAATATACCCTTACAGTAGTCGCTAGGGATAATGGTTTCCAGAAGAAATTGACTTCATCGGTTAGTGTAGAAATACAAGTACTAGACATTAATGATAACTCGCCTAAGTTCTACGGTTTTGATGAACTGCTAGAATGGAAACATCCAGAAGCATATAATTTATCGAACCACAACTTTGAATCGGTGATGATGATCCCTGTGTATAAGGCAACATTGAAAGAAAACGCTCCCGTTGGAAGTGTGGTTACACAGGTATACGCAAATGACTCCGATTTTATTGGGAATGGCAATGGACTAATTCTTTACAGCCTACCGCAAAGGAGAAACCAAATGAATATTTTCACAATCGATTCTAAAGAAGGTGTAATCACAACCACCGGAAGATTGGACTATGAAAGTCAGTCTGTACACAATGTTACCGTAGTTGCTTCAGACTTAGGCTCTCCAAGTTTAAGTTCAACCGCTATAGTTATGTTAACAGTTCAAGATGTTCCCGATGAGATAGAAATGTCAGACAAACCTGTTTTCATATCACGGTACTATGAATTGGAAATTGAAGAAAACGTCCCCACTCCCGTAGAACTCGTCACCTTGAACTTGACGGAATACTATGAGAGTTACAAAATGAAATATTTTATTCTGAACGAAAATGACACAGATATCAAGAAGACATTTGTGATAGATCCGCGTAATGGAACTTTGTATCTAGTTCGGAGTCCAGATAGAGAAGTAAGAGACATGTATGAGATAATAGTCAGAGCTGAACGACAAAAGATTAGTAGAGAGATGCCTCATATGATTTATCCAGTTTCCGATGACGTGCTGGAGGGTATGACGAAGTATGACGTTAAAATTATTGTAAGGATAAAAGATGTGAATGACAACGCACCGAAATTTATAAACGGTGGGCGTCCGATGGTCACAGCGATTCCGACTACTGCTTCTTATGGATATGAAGTTATACGGCTACAGGTATGTTCTTCTTAGATTATATATAATTCTCGAGTATGTTCTTATCCTCTTTATCAGCCTAGCCTCGTTATCAGTCTTTTTATTACAAAGTAGAGTCACGCTGCAGCTATATTATGCTTGAAACACGAATGGGTCCAATCAAGCGGCGAAGGATCACGCTGTCACAGCACACCAGCGTAAAATTAGAGTTCAATGCTGTTGTGTTTCGTATCGAGAACCGGAGACACTTTTTACTTGATACGGGGAATTTTGTCTCAGTACTCAGTTGACAACGCATCTGCATTTTGATACTAAATCATGGGTAGATGTAGATGTCTATGGGCCATAGCATCCACTTACATGAAGTGGATTGTGTGCTAATTAGTTTGTAAAAAAATGTTATCATTGTCCTTATCAGCCTTTGAATACTGCTGGAAATAGGCCTCATGTTAAGTGAATACTGCCGCCCATGAACAACTGCGACACCAGGGGAATTGCAGGTGCGCTGCCGGCCTTTTAGAAAAGAGTAAGCTCTTTTCTTGAAGGTCCCTAGATCGTATCGATCCGGAAAAATTGCCCGTGGTAAACTATTCCATAGAGAGGTCGTACGCGGAAGAAAACTCTTAGTGAAAGTCGTACAGTGGCGGACTGCCAAGCATCCAGATGGTGTGGATAGTACGGGAGGTTTGCCTCGTATTGCGTTCATGAAATTCATAAGTCTTCATAAGTCTTTTTGGTTGGTGTATTAGACCAGATTCTAAGTGATTTGTTGTGATAAGGAGTTTCAAGGGTCAATAGAGGAGAATTTTTTGAAATTCCACAAATAGCTCAGGTCTAAATTGTGCATTCTGAACAGCAGGAGGCCTATGTTCAGCACTGGATTTTTTGAAATTCCACAAATAGCTCAGGTCTAAATTGTGCATTCTGAACAGCAGGAGGCCTATGTTCAGCGCTGGATTTTTTTGAAATTCCACAAATAGCTCAGGTCTAAATTGTGCATTCTGAACAGCAGGAGGCCTATGTTCAGCACTGGTTTTTTTTGAAATTCCACAAATAGCTCAGGTCTAAATTGTGCATTCTGAACAGCAGGAGGCCTATGTTCAGCGCTGAATTTTTTTGAAATTCTACAAATAGCTCAGGTCTAAATTGTGCATTCTGAACAGCAGGAGGCCTATGTTCAGCACTGGATTTTTTGAAATTCCACAAATAGCTCAGGTCTAAATTGTGCATTCTGAACAGCAGGAGGCCTATGTTCAGCACTGGATTTTTTGAAATTCCACAAATAGCTCAGGTCTAAATTGTGCATTCTGAACAGGAGGAGGCCTATGTTCAGCGCTGGATTTTTTGAAATTCCACAAATAGCTCAGGTCTAAATTGTGCATTCTGAACAGCAGGAGGCCTATGTTCAGCACTGGATTTTTTGAAATTCCACAAATAGCTCAGGTCTAAATTGTGCATTCTGAACAGCAGGAGGCCTATGTTCAGCACTGGATTTTTTGAAATTCCACAAATAGCTCAGGTCTAAATTGTGCATTCTGAACAGCAGGAGGCCTATGTTCAGCACTGGATTTTTTGAAATTCCACAAATAGCTCAGGTCTAAATTGTGCATTCTGAACAGCAGGAGGCCTATGTTCAGCGCTGGATTTTTTTGAAATTCCACAAATAGCTCAGGTCTAAATTGTGCATTCTGAATAGCAGGAGGCCTATGTTCAGCACTGGATTTTTTGAAATTCCACAAATAGCTCAGGTCTAAATTGTGCATTCTGAACAACAGGAGGCCTATGTTCAGCACTGGATTTTTTGAAATTCCACAAATAGCTCAGGTCTAAATTGTGCATTCTGAACAGCAGGAGGCCTATGTTCAGCACTGGATTTTTTGAAATTCCAACAAATAGCTCAGGTCTAAATTGTGCATTCTGAACAGCAGGAGGCCTATGTTCAGCACTGGATTTTTTGAAATTCCACAAATAGCTCAGGTCTAAATTGTGCATTCTGAACAGCAGGAGGCCTACGTTCAGCGCTGGATTTTTGATAGGCTGTAGCGATGATGATGTAGATAGAAATAAATATATAAAATTAAGTCTTGGGCCAGGCATTGGACGCGGATATCAGACTGAACTAGACTGTAGTCATGATGACTAAAATGTAAATAGAAATAAATATAGAAAGCTGTGTCTTGAGCTAGGCAGTAGACGCGTTTGTCGAACTGAACTAGGCTGTAATTATAATGATTATAGTGCAGATAGTAATAAACATAGTAAGGTAATGTATTAAGCTAGGTGGTGATCGCGTACCTCGGACTGAATTAGGCAGTAACGATGATCATTATAGTGTAGATAAAAATGAATATACAAAATTGTGACGTGTTGAAGACCAGAGGTCTTTTGTCAGGCAGTGGACGCGGATGTCGGTCTGAACGCGGAGGTGCGCTACCACTTGATGAACTCGGCGGGGGGTCGGTTCTCGGTGGAGGCGGAGAGCGGGCGCGTGCTCGCGGCGGGCGGGTTCGCGCGCGACGCGGGCCGCGTGCTCGGCTTCGACGTGAAGGCCACCGACCGTCGCGGCGCAGACGACGGCCGCTCCGCCATCGCCAACGTCTTCGTGAGTACACACACACACACACACATACACGCACACACACACACACACACACACACACACAGCACGCACACACACGCACACACGCACACACGCACGACACACACACACACACACACACACACGCACGCACGCACACGCACGCACGCACGCACGCTCTCACGCACGCACGCACGCACGCACGCACGCACGCACGCACGCACGCACGCACGCATGCACGCACGCACGCACGCACGCACGCACGCGCGCGCGTGCGCTCGCGTTATAAGAGGATTCTGTAGTACCAGTTACTCGACTCCACCGAGTCAGTAATTCATTCTTGGGACGATGTATATGCTTTTACAACAAAATCCCAGAATATATACAAAATTTGTCATACACAAAGTTCAAAAATGTTATTAAACTAAGTTTGTAAAAAAAGGGTTATTATATTATCAAGGAATTTATGCATCATAATAACACTAAGCTATTTCTAATTTGTCTTGTGTTGTTAATTGTAATCATGATTGTAGGCTATTATTGGAAAAAAATAGTCCCGCTGGGTTTCTTGCTGGTTCTTCCCAGGACAGAGGTTTTTTTGCGAACCAGTGGTAAATGAAAAAAGTGACTTTCAATAAGTATTGTTATCATCTACATTGAATAAAAAAATTTGTGCTTCTGATACAAGGCAGAAGTATTATATTTAATCAATTACAGCCAAATAAGTGCGCTGCTAAACATAGGCCTCTTCTATGGAGTGCCTCGTAAGGGGAATTTTGCTACAGTTGCTACGCTTGGCAGGTAGGTTGGCAACCGCAGCTTTTTATAATGTTGAATAGTTACCAGGAACGTGCTGCTAGCCATCACCTGTATTTAAGGTTCACTCTGTCGCCTCTTACGACAATCACGGGACAATATGGGGCAGTACATATTCCTAGAACGCCACTACACGGTTAGCTATATTTTAAATAATTACTATATTTTAATAAAGACCAATCACATAAAAATGTTAATAATTTTTTTTGACATATACTATATTTTTGTAGTATCAAAAACATTAATTCAAAAAATACTACCGCAACCGGTCATCCTTCGGTTAGGGACGTCGCGTCGGTTGACAATATTCACAATGTTAAATATCAGCGAATTTTTTTACGGTGAAGCAAAATACCCCATTTTTTCCGCCAAGACAGTATATAAATTTTTGTTATACATTTTTCAAACAGATCCTTGATGATGGCTCTCACTTCGTTTTTTTCCACTTAATGTTATCATTTTGACTGCTGATATGCAAATGAACGTATCTCTCAGAAAGGATTACCTTTTTATTCCCTCATTTATTTTTAGATCTCATATGCTGAATGAAATTTTTACTTAAAAATAACCCACACAGTGCAATTTTCTCTTTCATCGTGGAGGCAATTTACATACATAAATTACACAAGAACAAACATTGACAAACAAGACCCCGAAAAATAAACTTGAGGGCCATACCAATACCTGTTCCTCTTTTTCAATGCTCTTACTGTTAAAATATAACTACTTGTTCAGCCTGCAACCCAATTTAAATTTAAAATAACACTTACATTGAATAAAACGAAATTTACGGATTCTATAGCGTTTAATTAACTACTTTTACTTATTTTTAATTCCCGACGTTTGGGTGCTTTACAGCAACCATGGTCACGGGGGGAACTGAGACTTCAAGATACTGTAAGTTCGTTTTGCGTAGATCGGATCGAAAATTAATATTAAAAAACTGAAGTAAGCTGGATTACCAATGACATTGGGACGTCAAACATCTCAGTCCATCCCGTGACCATGGGTGCTGTAAGGCACCCGAAACGTCGGGAATTTCGAACATCGGATGCCGAAACCTTGAACACTGCTTTGCAGCCCCTCGACCTAAAATCAGGTGAGATCAATACTGTCTGGGAGTCTCTATCTTCTCATGTTCTCAACACTGCTAAATATACTGTAGTTTTGAGAGTTCGAAAACATGAGGACTGGTTTGATGATAATGATGGGGTACTTACGGACGATATTGATAAACTGTTCAATAATATGTATTATAACAATCCCTTAACTTTAAATAAACAGGTATACGTCCTAGACGAGAGTAAACAGCTCGTGCTTGTCGTCGGAGCGAAGCCTGCGGAGGTGGAGAAACAGATGGTGAACATCACGCGCCACCTCTCCAACATGACCGGTTATGACATCCGCGTGCGCAGACTTGAGGCTAATGCAAAGTCTTCCATGGATGGTCATGCGTTAGTGGATTTATATCTTCAATCTATGGCCATTTTTACCTTGATAACTCCAGAAAATCTGGTAGTTTAATGCAAAATCTCCGAAGACATCTATGTATACTACTAGACGGTCTCTGCGGTCTTAATACAATTTACGGTCAATTCTCCGTAACTCATTTAGTCAATAACGAGCGGTCGAGTTGACTAGTTCTTTGTTTCGTTAACCGCGAACGTTGTTTTCAACATTTTAACACTGATTTTGTTTAAGGTGGCTAAGGAAACTGTAATTACGTACTTTGTCAACGTGATTTGATGTTTGTTTTAGATAAATGTGTAACTTTATTTCCCATGTGCCTAAAACATAACTGTCGTAATTGAAAATATAACTGCGTGGCATATTTATTGTGCCACATAGCTGAGACATAGTTTTTGTTCTGAATATCAGGTCCAGTAGCATACATAGAAGTCATGGTTCACTGCAAGGAATCAAGCCTAAGCCGTACAATGTGTCTGGTCCTTCAAGCCGCATATAATAAGTCAATAGATTTATTCTAAATTGATAAATCACGACGATTAATTTAAACTATAAAACAAGTCAAAGGAGCCCCCTGCTTGACACAAGCACCTCTCATTAAAAGCATAAAGAAACGGTAAAGGCCATCTTGCTTGTTGTTGGCGACTTTACACAAGATCTAATTTTATGTCTAACATACTCCAAGAACTGGCGACCTCATTTAACGAAATCAAAGTATTCCATCTTTATTTTTAGAGGTAACAACGTATCTTCAACTTGTCTTGTTAGAGGTGTCTATGTCTTGGAAAATATCAAGAAAATCTGTGTGTAACATCGTATTTTTGGCCGTGAATGTTTTCCGCCTCGCCTATTTTAAGAAAAAAGTATGATATTATCTCACTTATAACCAATTTCATACAATGCTTCGTTCAATGCATTTTTAATCCATTAATCCAAAGAACCATTTACAAGTTCTAATGTATATTATATTTTTATATTATAATTACAATTTGTCACACATATTTTATTATTGTTGCAGGACCGACATGTACGTCTATGGCATTGATCCGTTGTCGAATGCAATCATCGATATGGAAGTATTGCAGAAGTGAGTATTAACGGTTTTTGTTGAAAATAACATAGAGAGAATGCGGATGTTCAACTTCTTTTTTATATATAGAACTAGTGGGCTCCTAGTAGCCGAAATATGAAATTTATCGGTTTGTATATTAACTGAACTGTATTTTTTGTTGAAAGTCAACTACATATTAATATATAAAACAGAAATATCTATATATAATATAATAAAAATACGAAATGATCGCTTTTTTGTCCTGACGTATATACATTCCACTCTCCAGCTATACGCACTATTGAAACAGAAACAGAAACTTTTTTATTCAATGTAGATTATAAACAATACTTATTGAAAGTCAATTTTTTCATTTACCACTGGTTCGCAAAAAAAACCTCTGTCCTGGGAAGAACCAGCAAGAAACTCAGCGGGAATATTTTAAAAAAAATAATAGCTTACAATCATGTTTACAGTTAACAACACAAGACAAATTAGAAATAGCTTGGTAGCGATCACCAAAAAGGAACATTTAAAATTATAAAAACTTCATAGATTTTTTAATCAATTTGCCAGTAATTATTTATTGATGACATTATTTGTAGATAAAAATTCTTTATTATACATATACACTGTTTAACCACAGACTATTAAGTGTTTGACATTAAACTTAGTTAATAAGTTAAGTATAAGTTTGTATTTACACTGAAACATTGGCAGTATGAAGTTTATCGAACGACATAGTTTATCTAAGCGACTATAATGTGTTTGACATTGGCATTACGAAGATTAATAATCTATATTGTATTGTGTAACACATTTAGTTTTCAGCACTACTTCACTTTAAATTTAAATATGCCGATTTTCGTACTCCTCCGTATGTGTAATATTCTTAATTGAGATGGAATATCTCGTTTCCAGTCAAAAGGGTCTTCGGTTCTCTACACTAACCATACGAAACATAGCAGCATTATTTTGCTATTTTATGGTGGTACTTTGTGCAGTAAGGTGGTGCACTCGATTCTAGTACGTGACAATACAATAAAATTAAAGGAACATTAAAAGAATTTGTGGATTATATGCTGCTGTTATGTATGGTGAGTGTGGAGAACCGGAGACCCGTTTTACTTTAAACTTGGCATTTCATCATAGTTCTGAGTGGTGACAACGTATCTGCATTTTGATTCTTATTCGAGGATAGATTTAGATTGCTATGAGCCACTTCACTTACCATCAGGTGGGCTATGTGCTCGCATGTCACCCTTATTCTATAAAAAAACTTCGTTGATCCATTAGATCGATAATGAAGCGTGAGACGGGCACGATGTCGGTGGGCGGGTTCAGGGTGCTCGGCGTGGGTGGACGGGAAGCGCGAGGGGCGGGCGGGACGAGCGGGATGCGGCTGCCCAGCTCAGCGCAGCTCGGCCTTGTCGCACTCGCCGCGCTGGTGCTGCTTGCCGCGATCGCTGCCGCGCTTTGCATTCTCTGCAAGACCACCAGGAGGTACGGTATGATACGGACACACACATGCATGCACACACATACAAACACACACACACACACACACACACACACACACACACACACACACACACACACACACACACACACACACACGCATACACGAACCCACACACAAAAGCAATTACGCGCTGTCAGAGACAGTGATAGAGACAAATAGAAACAGAGGAAAAGATAGAGCAATAGAGAGAGAGAGGGAGAGACAGAGGACGAGAAAAGACGCACACACGCACAGACACACAAATTGCGTCTTTCCTCGTCCTCTGTATGTGCTTTTCTCTACTTCTCTCTCTCTCTCTCTCTCTCTCTCTCTATATATATATATATATATATATATATATATATATATATATATATATATATATATAGAGAGAGAGAGAGAGAGAAGTAGAGAAAAGCACATACACATACTTTTCTATATAAAATAGTAGTGACGAACGAACTTATAGTCCATCTGATAGTAAGTGGGAACTGCAATCCATGCACATCTGAACACCAATCCTCAAACAAAGGAGACTGCAATAGTGTCACAAAAGCGTCACCAGCGTTCCAATTCGAAAATTAAATATTACTTGGTCCTACGATACACTTAGTTCAATTATATTTTGTTAAATCTGTCATTGCCCTTTAAAACTTATGACAAATTAAAATATAAAACCATATAAAACATTCTCAAGTATTATATTCGAATTTTGTGTAAAAACTATTACATGCTCATTCATTAATTTATAAGCGAAAATTTAAACGAATCTAAGTCATTTTTGTTACATTCAAGTAAAAGTAATTAGCTATACAAACAACAATAATTATGGTTTTCATATATAATACAACGAATTATAACGTAAAACGAAACGGTTTTTCGAATACAGTAACCAGGAATTAAACACATAATATATACACACGTATAAATACAAACACACACAATCGACAAAAGGTATCTTTTTTTTATAGAAGAGGGGGCAAACGAGCGGCTCACATGATGTTAAGTGAATACCGCCGCCCATGATCAACCGCAACACCAGGGGAATTGCAGGTGCGTTGCCGGCCCTTTAGAAAGGAGTAAGCACTTTTCTTGAAGGTCCCCAGGTCGTATCGGTCCGGAAAAATCGCCGGTGGTAAACTATTCCACAGAGAGGTCGTACGCGGAAGAAAACTCCTTTTGAAACGTACAGTGGTGGCCCGCGAAGCATCCAGATGGTGTGGATGGTATCGGGACATTTGCTGCGTAGTGCGCGAAATTTGGCGGCTGGGATTATTCCGAACAATTCCTCAGAGCACTCCCGTGGTAGATACGATAAAAGACGCAAAGAGATGCAAAATATTTCCGCAGCGCCAGTGAATTGACGTTCGACGACATTCGTCGACGATTCGAGCCGCTCTGCGCTGGATGCGGTCAAGTGGAAGGAGCTGGTACTGGGGAGCCCCAGCCCAGAGATGGGAACAGTATTCCATGTGCGGCCGAACCCACGCCTTGTAAAGTTGTAGGCGGTGTGCCGGCATGAAATACTGTCCCGCTCTGCTGAGCACGCCAAGCTTTTTAGAGGCCAATTTGGCCTTCTCTTCCAAGTGACCACGAAACTGCACGTCACTCGATATGTCGACGCCGAGGATTCCGATACTGGCTGAGGCAACAAGGTGAGTGCCTTGAAACTGAGGAGATACGACAAAGGGGTTCGTTAAACTGGACTAGATTTAGTCGCCCCCAATCCGAGACTATGTTCAGCAAAGACTCGACTTCAGACACAAGTTTGTCCCGGTACTCGGAAACGTTTTCAAGAGAAATATTGGCACTTCTTTCATCTTACACTAACACTACAATCGTAAGCTTTAGGTAATTACGGGAAAAACTTTAATTTAATAATCAGACTCGTTTTCTGTATTAATATTAACGCCGTTATTAATACAAGTACATATTATATAGTTGCTTAGTTTTGCTTAGGCATAATATTATTCAATAACCACTCATTACACTAAATAACTGAACTGCTAACAACAGATCTCCCCCACTGATTGCCCCATAGCGTGGATATTTGCTACGGTTGCCACACATGGAAACCGCAGTTTTTAAATTATATTGAGTTAAAGAAGCTGCCTATCCCCTGCTTGATTTCCCTTTGTCACCTCTTTCGATACCCACTGGACTATATTACAACGCTATGGAATATGCGGAACACAGTGCCCAAATCTTGAAAGTTAACCAATGTGCAGCCAACGCCTAAAAAGGCAGCCGTGCCAACCCTGCCAACTATAGACCAATTTCAATTACCTCCGTACTCTGTTAGATTATGGTGCACATATTGACGCCCACCTCTTGGCATACCCAGACCAGAATGATCTCCTCAGTGACTGTCAGTACGGGTTATGTCAGTCACAAATGGGCGAAGCCCTTGAGAACAGTGGGGAAGCACTTGCTGTTTTCCTTGATGCCTCGAAGGCATTTGACAGGGTTTGGTACGCTAGCCTGGTGAGCAGGCTGACAGTGTACGGTTTATAACCTGGCTAGACTGACTGGGTGAAGCGTTTTCTGAGTGAACGATCTTTCCGTGTCGTCGTCGATTGCTGCTCGTCTAGTCCTGTCGCGTCAAACGCTGGAGTCCGTTCACTCCGCAACTCTCTTCCTGCTGCATTCGATCTGCTTAGTTTGATCCCCGTCTGAACCAATGAAATTATTAATTGCTTGCTGATTGCTGAATTACCATGTGCGCGGCGGTGAAGGAATATATCGTTAGGAACCAGCATGTCTGAGAAATAAAAAAAGTTCCAAGTATATATGAAATTCGCCAACACGCATTAAGGTAGCGCAGCGGCCATTTTCTTCCCCAGAAACCCTCCCTCTAATAAGAGGAATCCTGTGCCTGGGACACGTATGTAGGCTATTACTTTACTTTTATTTAATTTCTTAGTATAATATCTAATAATAATATATGTGTTTATACGTGGTAGAGCCACGCTGCAGCTATATTATGGTTGTAGCACGAAAGGGTCGGCTCGACCGGGGAAGGACCACACTCTCACAGAATACCGGCGTAAAATAGCAGTTTGATGCTGCTGTGTTTCGTATGGTGAGTGTAGACAGCCGGAGAACACTTTTACTGGAATCGCAGCATTCTATATTAGTCCTTAGGGATGACAACGCATCTGCATTTTGATATTTAATCGAGATTAAAATATAAGTGGTTTGGATGAATTATGTATGAAGGAATTAGACTTGGAGAATGTATGGCAAAACGTAAAGAAAGGTTTAGTGGATGCAGCTACCGAAGTATGTGGTGTTAGTAAGAGAAAGAATGAAAGGAAAAATAATACGTTATGGTGGGATGATGAGATACGTATGGAAGTTGAAGCAAAGAAGAGAGCATGGCTAGATTTACTAGCAACAAAGGCTGGTAATTCTAGCGGTACGAATGATGATATTGAAAGAAAAAAGGCAGTCTTTAAACATCTTAATAAGAGAGTAAAAGAAGTAGTTGAAAGAAAAAGCAAGAAAGAACGGATAAGAATGATAGAAGAATATCGGATAACTTCCAGGCAAATATTAAAATGTTCTGGAAACTTGTAAGAACTGCCAGGGGACATTAAAAACAGCCTATGATGAATGCTATAAGAGACGAGAATGGCTATATTCTGAATGATGAAGTTTTGAGTTTAAAGAGATGGAAGGAATATTTTGAAAGCGTGTTTATGAGTGAGGAGACAACGTGTGTACTAAGTGAAGTAGAAACTCCGAAAGAAGAGGAAAGAGGTAGCTAGATATATGATAATGTATAGATGAAATAATGAAAGCAATGAAAAGCATGAAAGCAGGTAAGGCTGCCGGATATGATAGAGTTTCACTCGAAATGCTAGGGGCTGGAGAGGAAGTGGTGGCAGGCCTGCTGTACACCTTGTTTAATTTATGCTGGGAACGGAAGCGGGTACCGGTAGACTGTTGCAAAGCCGTGATAGTCCCAGTATGTAAAGGAAAAGGGTCGCAGCGGGACTGTAAAAACTACCGTGGCATCCGCCTTCTTAGCATTGTGGGAAAACTGTATGCTAAGGTACTGATTGAAATGGTCATGAAAGAAACTGATGGAAAAGTTTGGGATGTGCAAGCGGGATTTAGAAAGGGAATGGGATATACAGATTAAGTCTTTTCCTTGCGCATGATCGCGGAGAAGTTTTTGGCCAAAAACCAAAAGGTTTTTTGTGCGTTCATGGACTTGGAAAAGGCCTATGACAGAGTGGATAGGGATGTGCTATGGCAAACACTGAACTCATTTGGGTTGAGCGCTGGCTCGATACAGGCATTGGAGTCTCTTTATAGGGCCTCTAGTGCTTGTGTTAGGATCAACGGGGTCTACTCGGACTGGTTTGCCATCCATAAAGGTGTCAGACAGGGCTGTGTGGCTTCCCCGTGGCTGTTCAACCTATTTATGGACAGTGTGCGAATGAAGAAGTTTAGGAAGGTTTGGGGGGAAGGGAAATAAGAGGGGGGGGTATATTTGGGCTGCGTATTTAGCAGGGATGGGAGATATGATAAGGATATAGAATGACGAGTGAATGCGGGAAATAGAGTAAATGGGGCCCTGCACTCTATTGTGAAGAGTCAATATGTGTCAAAAAAGCACGTATGGCAATTCACAATGCTGTGTTGGTCCCTACTTTAACGTATGTTAGTGAAAGTTGGGTGTGGCAGAAGAAGCACGAGAGTAGAATCAACGCAGTAGAAATGCGGTCGTTAAGGAGTATGTTAGGGCTGAATCTGAACGACAGGGTAAGAAATTGTGTAATAAGAGAAGAGTGTGGTTTGCAAGATGATGTTGTGACCAGGATTAAGAAAGGAATGCTTCGGTGGTTTGGTCATGTGGAAAGAATGAATGAGGAAAGAGTGACAAAGAAAATTTTTGTTGCAGAAGTGAATGGCAGAGTCGGAAAGGGACGTCCTAGGCGAAAATTTATCTATCAAATTGGCGATTTATTGAAAACGGGCCAAATTAGGAGTACCCTTAACCGACGAGAATGTATGCGTAGGTGTATGGATGTGAAGGAGGCGAGAGAGGTGTGTCAGGATCGTGCCAAATGGAAGTCTGTAGTCTCTGCCTACCCCTCTGGGTGACAGGCGTGAGTGTTTATGTTATGTTATTTATGTTATGTTTTTTATTAAATGAAGATGTTTATGGGTCACAGCATCCACTTATTATTGTGCTCGTTTGTCACCCTAATTCTGTAAAAAATGTAATAAAAGCATTTCATATAGAGTCTGTCATTAGACAAAGCAAATCAATAGTGAAACTATTATTTTATAGAGCACTATAAATGCATAGATAATGAAAGGGACATTCGATTGCACGCAATAAACGTTATTTTCACAATCATAAAATAAAACTCAACTACGTGTGGGATTGCAACGTTCCTTTAGTCGTAAAAGGCACTTAGAACTTGAATTGTTCAAATTCTTTTCCTCTTTATTTTCTTTCAAAGTTCGGAGCCATGTCGAAGATTATTAACTGAATACGATTCATCCATTACAACCTATAAAAGTCCGCCCCTATAGATTGCCTAATAGGGGAGTTTTGTCATAGTTGCACGCTGGGCATACGGGTTGGAAATCGCAGTTTTTTTTTAAATAATTTTAAGTCGTTATCAGGGATGCGCTGCTGCCCGCCTCCTGGTTTCCTTTTGCCGCCTCTTACGTCACCCACGGGATATGGGGATAGTCTTCAAACAGTCTAATGCCACTGTTGTAGAGCAAACATATCAATGCTTTTTATGTAGAAGTATTGAGACGAAATAGTACACAGTCCTGATTGTTAGCGGATACTGTGGCCCATAAACATCGTCGTTGTGATTGTCGTTGCTGCCCTTGAGGACAAAGATGAAATGTTCGGTCGCCAGTTCAGGAAATTTGTAAGACATGGCCAACCAAAAGTCCACCAACCCATGTTCATCTACCGATAGGTGCTTGTGACAAGCAAGGAGCTCTTTTTACTTGCTACACATTACATATATATAGATACACATTACATATGTCTGTATAAGAATTAAAAATGTGAAAATATTACCCTTTTTCGCTTTATTTATTTAGGAGCTTTAATCCTGAACGGATATGTCAGCAACGTCGTACACTAATCATTTCGATACTTGGAAAAAAATCTTATTAAAGAGAACTATAATTATTGGTGTTCTATAATCATATAAACTAAAAAAGTCAGTGACTGTCTAATCTTAAAACTTTGCATAAACAATTCTCTTTTTCTCTCGAACTTAACACATTCAATTAATAAATGCAATAATATACATATAACAATGTCCCCCAGACCAAATTTCGGCTACGGCGGCCAGCCTCAACGGAGAATAGCCATCTGTGCAGGACAGGATTATAGTGCCCAAGTGTACGCAAGCACCGCTACACTCTCTATTCCCTCAATCGCAATATAATCCGATGTGATTGCAATCCGACACGACAGAGAGATCACGTGCATTACCTCATAATCAGCATTCGCGCTTTCAACAATTAGACTAATGAGGGAGTTCTCCAAAAATGAAAGATCTGTTTACGTTTAAAATTTTACTGGCATTTAGAATCTTGAATATATTAGTGTAGATGGTGGCCTAGTACTAGTACCTCAGATAATATAGTACTATGGTTGCAGTATGAATGGGCAGGCTCCCCCCAGAGTACTGACGTAAAATACCAGCATAATGCTGCTGTGTTTCGTAGGGAGAGTGTAGAGAACCGAAGATATTTTTAACATATAACGAGGCAATCCGAGTCCTTGGTAGTAACAACGCATCAGCATTTTCATTCTTTGAGGATAGATGTCTATAGATGACAGCATTCCCCTCCCCTCTCATTTGACCGTTACTTGTATAATAAAATATAATATATAAATAGAAACACACTATAGTTAGATATATAAATAGAATAATGTACAAGGTAAGTAACACATCATTTTTACTATTGCTTTTCAGACACCACCATCATCACAAAAGAAAGCATGCGACTCATTATTTCATATAAATCACCTTAACTTCGGCTCAAAACACGTACTGATTATTTTAAATGTTACTTATTTATTTAAATTAAATGTCAAAACTGTATTTTTATTTAATAATAAAGTATCGATAGTACAAAAGATTTTTTCTTTACATCTCTACCTTAAATCTAAATACCCCCGTTTTTCGTTAGCTACTGTTACTTCTGTTGATTGACTGCTATTCTATCTTTTGCCCTCACAGAAAACGGCACACACCATATTCCCAACAACGTCTTAATGCCTTCTCCACTGAGCACCTAACAAAGTACGGAGGTCTCTTTCCATCTGGAGGCAATCAGTGCCAAGAGCTAAATCAGTCCTTTAGTGAAGCTGATTCTTATATTGACGTTATAAACCATAGCACATTGAAGAAAACCTGTCCCCACGGTAACACAGTGGAGGAGTTCGGGAAAGCGCATCAAAAATGCGTTAAAAGTCAATTTGGCGAAAGCTCTGATACCATTAATCAAAAGCATGAGAGAATGTGCATCAAATTCAACCAACGACCATTACAATCAAGGTGAGATAAATTGTAAATTAAAACGTTTTTACCAACTTAGCCAACGGGCTAAAAATTACATCGGCTCGTATTGAACAATTTTTAACGACACTATTGATGTGCGCGTTACAGTTTATCGATAAATATCGTAAATGTCTCATTACAATTTAAAGTCCGTTGGTTTAGTTCGTAATGCTGAAAATCTTCCTAATTTAATAATAACTCATTTGGTTAATTTATTAACCAAGTAATTTCTGTTTGCTTACCACACTTTTTACACTAACCAAGCAACTTAACCACGAATAGTAATATGATTCGACCGACTACTTCCACTTCACCGCTTCAGTGTTCATTTAAAATTGATCAATATTCGAGTTTTCAATGAAAATAATCAACAGTTATTGCATACAGCTTTTAAAAGTCAAAATATTTTACTAATTTCTTCGACTTGACACTAACCATTAACTCTTATACCATGAACGAACAAACATTGCTTTTTAAAACACCTGTACACGTCCCAAATTAGGAGAGGACAAGACACTTCGATAACATCAGTGAATTCCAGTGGGCAGGACTCGGGAATCGCTGAAGCCGTCAGGTGTCCCTGCGGGCATTCCACTACCCACACTTCGGAGGAGAGCAGTGGGTGAGTCTTTGAGCTTAATAATTACTTGTATTATATATTTTGACCACGTATTGGCGGTGTGGGAATATCCACTACTCCATATCGTCCCGTGGGTGTCATCAAGAGGCGACAGAGGGAATAAAATCAGAAGATGGGCAGCAGCATCTTCCTAATAACGACTAAATATAAAATCTGTAATTGCCAACCCATTTGCCAAGCGTGGCAACGGTGGCAAATATCCATCCTATGGGGCAATCTATGGGGTAGGTTTTTATTATGCTGTATCGGTAACGGTAATATGTATTTTTTTGTTTTTAAGCTGTGTTCTGTGTGATTTATTTATCAATAATTTACGTACACACAAAGTAACGTTACAAATTAATATAAAAAAATATATTTTTGTAAGGCACGGCTTCTTTCATATTGAAATTTCATGCCATGTTAGTGTTGGCGTAAGAGAATCGTAAAAGGCGCCATGTCATAAAGATCTATTTATTTCTGATAGATGGCGCCATCTCACTGACGTCAGGCGTGAAATAAACAGATCAGCGAAGTCTAGTACCGCGATTGTCAATTTGCCTGCAAAACATGAATATTAAAGGCAAATCCTCCCTAAAATAGGAGGGGTCCATGTCCAGCCCTGGACTTTTGCACAATGATGATGAAATAGAGAAAGAATCTCTAAAACGAATGAGTAAAGTTTACGTGATAGAACCACGCTGCAGCTATATTATGGTTGTAGCACGAATGGGTCGGCTCGACCGGGGAAGGACCACGCTCTCACAGAATACCAGCGTGAAATAGTAGCTTAAAGTTGCTGTGTTTCGTATGGTGAGTGTAGAGATCCGGAGACCCTTTTTACTGGAAACGAGGCATTCCATCTTAGTCCTCACGGATGACAACGCATCTGCTTTTTGATCCGTATTCGAGGATAGATGTAGATGTCTATGGACCGCAGCAACTACTTACCATCAGGTCGACCGTGTGCTCGTTTGTCACCCTATCCTATAAAAAACCCTTGGTTACTGGAAACGAGGCATTCCATCTTAGTCCTCAGGGGTGACACAACTTATCTGCGTTTTGATTTCGTTTTGATCAGGCGGACTGTGTGCTCGTTTATCGGCTAAATTGATAAAAACCCCAAGGAACCATGAATGTAGATTTAATTCTTTATTTATGTAAATATTCTTCAATGACTATAATAACTTTGCCTTATTTTAGACAGTATAAAAATATTTTCAACTGTTGAAAAATAGAGATATTATTTGAGCAGGATATTCAATAGGGCAATTGTCAACCTCAACTTTACCGCAGATGTTATTTGATATTTCGCACTAAATACATTTTTGAATATTTTATGACATTCTAGAATTTGAAGTAGACAAGATAAAAAAGTATACTCAAAAGATTTGTTGTTTATTTAATACGTAACATATTATAAAGATGGTCTTTCGCATTTCTCCCTTTGAAAACAATCAATCAATGAAATTTAAGGAAGAAGATTAAAGTCTTGTTATTTTTCAGTTGTAGCTACGAGGACTCCCTGAAATCAAATCACAATCAAGAATCACATCTTAAATCATATCGTCCCGATCCAGAGCCCCGTTTCCTCCGGCGTGCTTCATTCGGCCACCAACCACTGGACGTGCGGCGATTCAATAACAGGAGACAGTCTTTCTCTGAAAACCTTCAAAGACATTTCCCCTCATTCGAGAGGATCGGATCTGGTGGCAGAATGACCAGACAGATATCTTCTCCCAACGTGTCTAGTGTATCTCAACCATATTTCTTGGCTGCTAAGAAGAATTTACGAAGAAAAGAAGTAATAAAGGAACCAGTAGTGGATTATGATCAAAGTGAAGCAGAAGATCAATTCGACACAAGACTGGGTAGAAGATCAAGCGGGCAGAACCGTAAGAGAGGAAATTTTATGGAATTAAATGGTCAGACGGCAGTGTTTGTTGCTACTCCTGCCGCGGCAGAGATTATGAGGAGACAGGGAAGTGAGAGACTTATGTTTGCTAGACCTATGTAGTAGCTTAATGATGCAGAACAATGTAGAAGAGGCTTTAATTTATAACATGAAAGAGATTTAATGACAGAAATTTTAGAAGAGTCAGAAGTAATTTTTGGAAAATTTGAGAAAAGGGTAGAGGTGAAAGAGAGAACGGAAGAGAAATTATGAGAGGGAGCATTTAAATTGGAAATTTTAACCAAACTCTAAAGGAGCTTGGAAATGATACCTCAAAACGTATTGATACATTTTTAACTTAACCGTTTCACATGTATTCGGATAAGATTTTTAATCAGCATTATGGACTTAAATATAGGCTTTAATGTTCTTGTTGATGACACGCGAACTCACTCACTAGCACAATTGAATTGTGCACATAAACTCTTTTTGTTGTATTCATTGTAAATAGTTCAACTAGTTTCTAATTTAACAAAATACAGCCTTTCTTAAGAATGTAAACACGTTTCGAGGTTTACTAGACATAAATTTAATTAAAAATAAAATCTGCTTAAAACAGAAACTGGATCCATTATCAGGGCAGTTCCATGGTACCGTATATACCGGTCAAAATTACATAAGCACGTCAAATTTCAACTCATTCGGATGTCTGAAAATTCAAAAATTGATTAAAATATCATGAACCGGAAATTCGTACGAAGAAATAAAATCAAATAAAAACTTGTAAAATATGATTTGAAAGAAACATTGTAAGTATTGTAACAAGAGAAACCTTGTTGTTAATCAATTTGTATGTTTGTATATAATATAATGTAATAAATATTTTATATGTTTGTATATAGCACATTATAATAGATATTTAAATAATTATATCGATAACTATTTAAATATGGATTTTGAATTGTAACTTTAAGCCTTAACGAAACTTATATTTCTATATTGTTACCACAGTTCTGAAGTTGTAAAATTGTAAGTTACTTTAAATAATATTTGTGAATATATAGTTTAATAACCATATGTATATTGTCATTGGAATCTAAGTCCAAAGAGAAATATTTGTGTCTAGTACTTATTCTGATAAGTGCCATTTGGGATAGGTCTTATAGGTTCTTTGGAGCATATAAAGATCTTTTAATGTAAACTTTTACCACCTTTATAGGGTAATTTGTGTAAACTTGTAATATTTATGCTTAAACTGTATATTGTAATAATGTAAATAATTTCTTGTTAAGAAATAAATTGTATGAAACTTGTTTAACTTTCATTAACGTATGTTTGTCACTGAGCTCCTTTATAAGGCCTGGAATGATTTAATGATTTTTTTCTGTGTTTGATTAGGTTCCTGGATGGTATAGATTGGCAACTGGATGTGGTGGCAGGTGCTGTGCTCGAGATCCAGAAATCACCCATGCGAAGTCGAGGTTGATCGATAGTTTATATATATATATATATATATAAAAATTATATAATCATTGTTGTACACTAAATATACAATGAATGAAGATATCCAATTCATACATTGTAGCTATCATTTTCATAGTTACAATGTTTGGCTAGCGGGGGTTGGCAACCGCACTTTCTCATTATTTTTGGTTGTTATTAGAGAAATGCTTTTACCCATCTCTTGTTTAATGTCTCTCCGTCGCCGCTTACGACACCGGATGATGTGGGGAGTAGATTCTCTTACGTCACCACTACACGGCGGAGTAAAGTACAATTTATAGAATGATTCTAAATGTTTTTCATTATTCAAGTGAATTCTACTTACCATCAGGCAGACTATGTGCTCGTTTGTCACCCTTATTCTATATAAAAATAAACCGCTTCTAGTGATTGCAGTAGTGCGACTGCTGATCATGGGTTCCGGGATTGGTACCAATAAAAAATCAATTTTCGAGTTTTCTGTCAAGAAATTCTCAGTAGTTTCCCGGAGTCAGGAATTAGCGGTGTCTTACCCGCGTGCCTCGGATAGCACGTAAAAAGCCGTCGGTCCTGCGCCAGATCTTTCTCCGGTCGTGTCGGTTTACCGTCCCATCGGATTATGAGAGTGAGGGAATAGAGAGTGCACCTGTGCTTGCGCATACGCTTGTGAATTATAACCGTGCTGGCATTAGAAATTTTGTATGGAGGACATTATTATTATTATATAAAAAAAATTGCAATAGCCTAGAAATCTAGGACTAGACAGATTTACTGCTGAAATGGTCAAGTATGGTGGGCCTCGCGTCTGGGACAGCTTTCGTCTGCTGTGCAACTTGTGTTGGCGGACGGGAGATGTCCCGGATGATTGGCGATCCGCGGTCATTGTGCCTTTATATAAAGGTAAAGGTTCACATTTTGACTGCGGGTGCTATCGAGCGATCAGCTTGACCAGTTTAGCAAGTGAAGTTTACTCGAAGGTTTTGACACGTAGGATGCAAGAGAAATCGGAAAGATTCTTATGGTAGGCACAATGCGGATTTAGACCTGGAAGAGGATGCACGGATCAAATGTTTTCTCTCCGCATGATCACGGAAAAGCTTCTGAGTGTTAACCAGAGGATTTTCTGTGCTTTTGTGGATCTGGAGAAAGCATTTGATAAGGTTATAAGGAAGAAAATGTGGGAACTGTTGCTGGGATATGGTGTGGATGGTCGATTGTTAAGGGCTGTGCAGTCACTTTACTATGACTGTAAAGCCTGTGTGCGGGTAGGGCATGACCTGTCACCCATGTTTAGCGTCCAAGCGGGCGTAAAACAGGGTTGTGTCATGTCTTCCCGGCTGTTCATACTGTATCTCGACAGCTGTTTACAGAAGCTGAAAAATAGCTGTTTGGGTGTGAAATTGGGTGACATAAAAGTAAATTGTGTGCTGTGTATGATGCAGTGCTTATTGCACCATCAGAAGCATAACTGCAGGCATTAGTCACGTGTATGAAAGAGGAATGTGAAATTAAAGATCTCCGTTTGAATGCTAATAAAACTAAGGTTCTGGTATTTGAAAAGGACGAAGAGAGAACGAAATGTGAAATATGGGTAAATCAGGAATGTCTAGAACAGGTATATGAAATTGTATACCTGGGGAGTGCTTTCAGCCGGGATGGAAGATGTGATTTAGATGTGGATAGGCGCGTCGCTGCCGGAAACAAAGTCAATGGTGCCCTGAAAGCATTAGTCAAAAAGGCAAGGCGTGGTGAGGAGTGCACGCCTTGCAATACATAACGCAGTGTTGGTACCGACTTTGTTATATGGCAGCGAAACCTGGGTATGCCAGAAGAAGCATAAAAGCAAGTTGAATGCGGTGGAGATGCGATCTCTTCGTAAAATGTGTGGCGTTACCATAGCCGATCGAAAGCGAAACGAAGAGATTCGCAATATGGCAGGATTGAAAGATGACCTTATCACAAAAATTGATACTCCAATGATTTGGGCACGTTGAGTGAATGAGTGAAGACCGAATGGTGAAGAAAATATTTGGAGCGAAAGTAAATATTAAAAGGTGTCGAGGTAGACCGAGACTAACTTTTGAAGACCATGTGAGCAAATTTCTCGAAGAGGGGAAGGTCAAGAGTACTCGGATACCTAGACGGTGCATGTATGAAGAAGTTAATGAACCTGAAAGAAGCGAAAGAGGTATGTAAGGATCGTGACACTTGGCGATCTGTTCTCTCTGGCTACCCCGTTAGGGATTGTGCGTGAAGATAAGTAAGCCTAGAAATCATACGAAGGTTGCTTCAAATTCTGAATTCCTTATTTATTTGGAATTCTTCTAGACAAATCTTTTAAACAGATTATTTTATATCTGCTACAATACCCACTTACAATGAAGGAAAGGTATATTATGTGCTAGTTTACCCATATTCTATAGAAAAAAATTGGAATAGCATAGAAATCATATGAACATTACTCCAAATGCAACCTTAGCTCGGATGTTATTTTTTAATAACCGGCTAAAAATAATATTTGTGATATTTAAATCGAAGGAAATGTTTTAATTTTTTTATCGAGTTTAAAAATATTAAGAATTAAATCTAAATTTGAACATAGCATGTCAAAGCAAATATACGACATGATGATATAAACAAAGAGCACTGACAATACATTTGTGTCGTCGCGGTTCGTTCAGCGGAATTTCCCAGAAATTTCCAATCACTCTTCACGCACGAAGTCAGAAACATGCCGGCAGTCTGATTAATACGACCAATATAATACCCCAGCAGTTGAATTATGTCGGGAAACAAACATCCCTTTCGATTCAGTTTGTAAAAAACAAGACCGGTGTCAATGACTTTGGTCGATTTATAAATGATGTTTGGACTTTCACATTGATTTTCAAGTTTGGTAGTAAACATCTGATAGTTAGATTTATAATTTTTTTTATAAAATATTTAAAAAATAATTCGAATGCGCCTATTCTTATAGTTAGTACATGTAATTATATGCCGGTGCGGTCGCACGGTGTCGAATAAGGTACAGACTATGAAGTTAATAGGTCGTATGTTTGGAGCTGCTATTCGACTACTATCTTCAACTACTCCGAACAAACGCAATTTTTGTTTAGTTGAAGGTTCTAACAGGAATATTACTTGTGTTAATAAGGGATATTATAAGCGGTACTACTAGTGTTAATGACACGGTTTGTGACAAGGCATTGTGAGTAACATGAATCGGGCAGCCTTTGTGAGTTAACGGACTACAAATTTCTTCTAAATATTAATAATAGGAAATCTTCATATGTGAAATGCATTGACAGTAAAAAAAAAATATTAACTTAAATTACACATTTAAAAAATTCCCGAAACAAAAAGTGCTGATGATTTTCGAACTGCTGAAAAATTAAAAATTTTGTACAACCGACTTCAATACCACCCAGTACATTGATTCGGTTAAATACGCATTATTAAGGTAACACACATAAAAAACATACAGTAGAATTGAATCCTCCTTTTTGAGGTCGGTAAAAGAAACTAAATCTAAAGCTGTAATCCGTTTGAAAGCTACAGACAGACCCACAGTTACATCGATACTCAAATATATAACATCCTTCTTTATAGGGGGTTAAAACACGTATTTATTTGAATACTCTTAAAAGAAGAAAATAAACATTTTATTAAAAAAACACACATCAATTTATTACTTATCACAATTTATTAATCCCGGAACCCGTCCCGTATTGCCGTGCCTTACAGCGGCTTTTGTTTTACCGTGCACTAATCAGTACCCTTGGCTTGGTGCATGGTGAAACTTAGGCCAATAAGCTTAGTACAAGACGTTTCGTTACTTTAAGGTTCCACGTTATCGTTCTGGGTATTTTACATCTGGCGACACGAGATAATTAAATCTCCATCTGGCAGGCGCTACTAGAAACTCCTCAGACGATGTTATAACACCTTTCTCAAGCTTTCATCCAGATGTCCACAGCTGAATATAAGCCACTTCATAGATTGCCTTATATTTGATTTGATTTATTGGAGATATTTTCCATAGTTGCCACGTTTAACAGACACTATAATATGTAATATCGATTCGACAAAACAAATATATTGTGTCATTATGACCTTAATCGGTCGAGTTGTTCAGAAGTAACACGATCACTAGCAGACGCAGGTACGATTAAACATAATAATATAAAGATGTAGGCTGTGCAGCCGAAACTTTTGCCTTACAACAGTTGACTAGAATTAGACTGTGGCAGTGTAAAAGAAACCAGTATGGAGTGTAGAAGTAAGGAGTACCAACTCCCATAGTAGAACAGTTGAAAAAGTGGCCATCTGTAAGCAGTAAATAACAACTCCAAAACTCTTCACAACAGCGCTGGAGTAGCTACTAGGATGAAATGAACTTAGCAGTTGTCGACGGTTTAAGTGTGCTGCTAAACTGTTCACTAGCTCTAAAATCTAAAATAATTTTATTTAGTAAATATAAACTCGAAAAAGTCGTCTATCCCACTAATATTTTCGGTGCGTTCTTTAAAATTTACCCCATTGTAATAGTGGCACCACCCTTATTTAATGGTTTTTATTAATTTTACCTTTTAATACACCGTCTGTACTCCTTACTTCTACACTCCATAGAAACCAACATATCATGTCACAAGTACCGTAAGATGCGACATACGGAAACTAAAACGGGACATGGGCAAGCGTCTTCCTTAATTGCCTTAATAATAATTATTAAAAAAGTACACTTGCCAAGCGTGGAAACTATGGCAAATATCTCACTTATCAGGCAGTCTAAGGGGACGCATTATTATTTGTATTATTAAATAAATATTCACGTCTCGTCAATAAATGACTGGTATAATAATTTCTTAGAAAAACCTATGTCCTACTCAAAAATGATGATATACTTGAACGATATGGTTGTCTATCATCTACCGGAATGCGTAAGATCCTTCTGGCAGAACCATTATCATATGGGTTGAATACATCAACCCATATGATAAACATATGACGAGATGCGTGATTAAATCTCTTATATGTTTAAGTAAGCATTATTAAAAAATATTATATTGATGTTTTCTAAAAGAGTTAGAGTAGCAAACGAGCACACACTCCACCTAATGGTAAGTGGATGCTGTCGACCATAGCCATCTACGTCTATTCTATATTAAGAATCAAAGCGCAAATGCGTTGTCACCTCTAAAGGCTAAGATAGAATGTCTGGTTTCTAGTAAAAAGGATCTCCAGTACTCTACACTCACCGGGAACCGGGAAGGAACACACTCACACAAATGAGAGTGTGTTCCTTCCCGGTTCGAGCCAATCTATTCGTGCTACAAACACAGTATGGCGGTTCTACCACTTAAATCGTCTACTTTTACATTTAATCACTTAGCTTAATCGTTCTCACTGAGTTTTCACAAGCCGTATTAATAATTTAATATTATTTATATAACTTTCATATTAATTTCAAATTAAAGAAACCATATTATGGTTCATTTATTCCAAATTAAATTATCGAAAATGCATCGCTTTTGTTTCTGAGCACTAAGGTCAGATTCAATATTTAAATTGTGGAACTTTTGGAGTAACTTGATTAGATGCAAAGTCTCTAAAATTATTTTGAACTATAAATTGAATTTGATTCAGTATATCCATTCAGAAATTTTTTTTAGCTTTTTATCTCGGGTATAGAAGGTATAATGAAAGTGATTTATCCTTGCTTTAGAGAATTAATCCCAAAAAGGGGTGGTTTTACAAGCGGGATAGGGCTGGACATGTCTCGAGCAGTGCGGGCGGTTGGTAAGCTTAATTCATTATGTAAAAGCGTTGGGTCAATGCTCTAGGGAAATGCGCTTTTTATATAAGAAAATTAAAGCTATTACCAAATAGTTTCACAGAACTAGTTTTCTCAGTTATCCTAATCTGACGATAGATTAATTTGGTGGTAATATCTTCGAGGCCAAATTTCGGTCACGGCGGCTAGCTTCAACGGAGACTATAGCCGTCGGCGCAAGGCAGGATTATAGTGTCTAAATGTATGCGAAAGCATAGGTATACTCTCTATTCTCTACCTCTCAGACGACGAGACAGTCGAGGTAGTCGAGATAGTTTATAATAATACAGATTATTTATTCATAGCCTATTAAAAGTCTTTAGCTGAACCAACGTTACCTATACGTATAACGGATAAGGAGGCCTATCCCTCATGAATTGTTTCACATGGCGAATATTTGCCATAGTTGCCACTCAAGACAGGCGGATTGGCAACCGCAGTTTATCCAGCTATTCAGGTCTGGGTACAAGACAAGAAGTGGAAGTCATCCATGAGTTGGGGTTCTTCTACCAGAGCTCTAACGCATCAGGTCTTCGCCAAACCACATAGGCGGCCGGACTTTACCAGCCATCCTGCTACACGCCGGCTGACTAGCGCATCCGCAGGCCCCCATTTGTGCCAGCAATCTAATCTAATGATAAGAATATACTAGATGTAATATACCCAATACATTATGTAGTGACGGTGTAAGAATATCCACTACCCCATGTCATCGTTAAGGCGACAGAGGGAGGCTGAACCAAGAGATGGACAGCAGCATCTTCCTGATAACAACTGAATAAAAATAAAATTGCGATTGCCAACGTATGATATTACTATGGCTTAAGTTCAGTAGTTGAATTTTCGTGAATTGTAATGGGAAGCGTAAGAATAAACATATGCAGTTGCCAACCAACCTGTCAAGCGCGGTATTGGCAAATATCCTCTCCCCTGTGAGGCAATCATTGAATAATCCTCTCTTTGGCATTGAGCTTCTGATAAGCTGTAATAGTAGATAACATACGTTAAGTTCTTCTACTAGTTCTTGGTACTTAATACTTCTAGAAAACCTCAGTTCTTGATACTTAATACTTTTAGCAAACTTCAGTTCTTGGTACTTAATACTTTTAGCAAAGCTCAGTTCTTGATACTTAATACTTTTAGCAAACCTCAGTTCTTGGTACTTAATACTTCTGGAACACCTCAGTTCTAGATACTTAATACTCTTAGCAAACCTCAGTTCTTGGTAATTAATACTTCTAGAAAACCTCAGTTCTTGATACTTGATACTTCTAGTAACCTCAGTTCTTGATAATTGATACTTCTAGCAAATCTCAGTTCTCGATACTTAATAATTCTAGGAAACCTCAGTTCTTGATAATTGATACTTCTAACAAACATTAGTTCTTGATACTTAATACTTCTAGCAAACCTCAGTTTTCAATACTTAATACTTCTAACAAACCTCAGTTCTTGATACTTGATACTTCTAGCAAACCTTAGTTCTTACACCCGTATTTATAAACAAGTAAAAGTAATTACTTGAGTAAAAGTAATTACTTAAGTAACGATTTGTATTCGATAGTTAAGTAATTGCTCCAAGTTAGAACTGTCAAAAGTTAGAATACTCAGCCAAGTAATAGTCACCATTTCCTTTACTTAAGCACTACTTTGAGGTTATTTTGGATAAAAAATGAAAACTTTGGATAGCATTGGAACGGTTTTTTGCTGTTGTAGATAATATTATATTAGAGGAGATAGAATTTGAATTTTTTTTTCAAATATATATATCGAATAAATAATCATAAGAACAGAAATTAAACAAATAAGTATAATAATCAAACATTATATTTATGTTGTAAGTTTTACACTATTTACTTTAACACATTTAATTTTATCGAATAATAATTATTTTTAATAGAAAACAAGAATTAATGAAACATTTTTTTTACTTTTACGTTTATTTCTTTAGAGTTGAATTTTAAAATAACGATTTTGACAACCTGGCGCATAGTAAGCGCTCACGGGGTACCGAAGTTGCCACAATAGGCAAATAGATCTTAGCTAGGCTAAGAAGCCCGGGTGACAACCCTTTCATGCCATCTCCAACTCATCTCCCTTTATAGGAGTGACAGGTGATTACATGAATATATGTAACTATTTTTTCGAGATTATGTTATTTCTGCTAAATGAACCCTTTTACCTTAAAAGTTTTGACGTTATCTAACTTCAACATTTTTTTATTTTCGGCGTCATAAAAATCGTGTTAATCGTCGCGTCGTTCGTAAGTATTAACATACAGAATTTTATGCCTTAGAATTGTTGGTTATTTCGAAACCTTTGACAGTAAGCCAAAACATCGTTCATAATAATGAAGAACTATGTTTCTGAACACATAAACAACCACCAAGCGTAGAGTGTTACTTGGGCATTTGCTCAAGTAAGTAACGTGTGTTACTCAACTATAGAATCAGATTTTGTAATTAAGAATTCTAGCAACCTTAAGTAATGACTTAACAAGGAATTACTTGGCAACAAGTAATTACTTCTTTATCAAACTACGGTTATTAATACTTGATATTTCTAGCAAACCTCAGTTCCTGATACTTGCTACTTTTAGAAAACCTCAGTTCTTGATACTTAATACTTTTAGCAAACCTTAGTTCTTGGTACTTAATACCTTTTGCAAACCTCAGTTCTCAATGCTTGATACTTCTAGCAAAACTCAGTTCTTGATACTTGATACTTCTAGCAAACCTCAGTTCTTGATACTTGATACTTCTAGCAAACCTCAGTTCTAGATGCTTGATACTTCTAGCAAATCTCAGTTCTTGATAAATAATACTTCTAGCAAACCTCAGTTCTTGATACTTGATACTTCTAGCAAACCTCAGTTCTTGATCCTTGATACTTCTAGCAAATCTCAGTTCTTGATACATAATACTTCTAACAAACATTAGTTCTTGATACGTTATACTTATAGCAAATCTCAGTTTTTGATACTTAATACTTCTAGCAAACCTAAGTTCTTGATACTTGGTACTTCTAGCAAACCTCAGTTCGTGATAAAGGAGCGAACCTTCTGACACTGTGTTTGCCAATCGCCTGCCAAGGGTGACAAGTATAGTAATACCTAGTATAGAACAAGCTCTAGCCCACACTAAGTGGACTAGTACGACCTGAAAACGACGAAGAAGGTGTTCGTGATAATTCGAGAAGTTATTCTTTAGTCTATTAACGAAAAAATAATTGAAAGCGGTTGTTGTGTCGAGTCTATGACTACTAAAGCGTCCTTTTAAGGTGGCGGTAAAAATTAATGGACGATAATACCGAGCTCGCCCGCCATTAATTTATTGGAGCTTTTTTAGGTTTACGACATTTTTATGGCAGTTTAGAATAACACATAGGCGTGTGTCATGAAGTGCCAAATTGAGGTTGAGAATATGATGATGTATTATATATTGTAATACTCTAACAGCTTGATATATTTTTTTTCATGAAATAAGAGTGATCAACAAGCGAACAAGCGCACAGTTCACCTGATAGTAAATGGATGCTGTGGCCTATGACATCTAGATCTATCCTCGATAAGAATCAAAATGTAAATGTGTTGTCAACACGAAGGGCTAAGATAGAATGCCTCGTTTCTAGTAAAAGTACAAAGTAAAGTTACAGCCTATATACGTCCCACTGCTGGGCACAGGCCTCCTCTTATTTCTGAGAGGGTTTAAGGCAAGGAATAGTCCGCCGCGCTGCCCCAATGCTTGTTGGTGAACTTCACATGTCTTCGAAATATATATTTTTTTCTATTTCTCAGACATGCAGGTTTCCTCACGATGTTTTCCTTCACCGTTGAGCACGTGGTAAATCAGCACTTATAATTGTAATTAACAATTTCATTGGTGCCGGCGGGGATCGAACCCGATTTGGTCGCGTATTGTGAAATTTACAGCGAGCGCTAACCGTCTGAGCTACCACGGCTCTCTGAGCTACCACGGCTCGGTCGAGCCGACCCATTAATGGCATTTATTAAGCATATAATAAAATTTTGCAAACACAGAGAAACGCGAATAATCGAATTTCTCATACAACACGATTTTTTTTCATAGACGAGCAAACGAGGGGCAAACCAGCATGCTCCTCACCTGATGGTAAATTACTACCTCTAACTGACACCGATGCGGTAAAGTAGGATCTTTAACAATACTCTTACTCCGCGGCCCATGCTGAGGTAGTAAAACTACATACAGTTTGCCAATACAATTTTTTAAAACATTTTTTTTATGTTCGAGTTTTCTGAATTGAAGTTAATGAATACTGATTCTGATATCGCACTTAACGGGAACCACGGGGTTTTTATATAGATATTTTATATGTTGTATAATATTTAGTAATAAGTGATCATTATCTATTTCTGACTAGTAATAACTTTCTACTAAATAAATAACTAAACCCAGTTCGTCGAACTTAGCGTTTACCAATATAATATATCTTTAGCTTTCAAATATCAATAAATTTATATCGAAAATAAGTCGTTCATTGGAAACAACAGCGAACGCTTCGGTTGATTTTATCTTTTTGTCGATGAGTTGTTGCATTGATGTAACTTATTGTATGATATTAATCCTTAAGACGACATATCGAAAAGGCTATGGCCCTACTGATCCAATTGAATACATAATTTCTATAAAAACTTTAAAAAACGCCGTCATAAGGTCTAAAATTGCGTAGCGCCCGCGACGATTAAAAGTGCTTAGAAATTGTCAGAATCTTAAAATATTTTTTTAAAAATTATTGATTTATGTTATCAAAATAATAAACAAGTAAATTATGAATATTGATGTTATGAATATATTTGAGTGATTCCCAAACATATAGATTGAGTAATTTCGTTGTAATTTCAACTATAGTGATTTTTAGAGGTGTTCTCGCAAATAATTATGATCGAGTCAAAATTATACAATCGTGTTTTTGAACAATCAAATTCAAGATAAAGACACGAATTTACCTATATCAAAATTCCACTTTCGTTAGTGGTGTCATAGTTGCATACTATTCGATGAAAGGAGGTGCATTTTTTCACGGTGTCGCCTTAATTGCAACTGGCAACAGTCTTATTTATTGGATTGTGAGAGCCAAACGTAATAATATTTTGTATGGTATCATATTATGAAAGTTATTAATATTAAGTATTCTTTTTATTACAATGTCAGTTTTTCTGAAAACGGAGCATTCTATCTTGGTTCTCAGGGGCGATGTACCTGCATTTTTAATCTAAATCGAGGATAAATACACATGTCTAATGGGTCACTTACTATCATGTAGATTGTGTGCTCATTTGTCACCCTTGGTTAAAAAAAATGTTTTATACATAAAAAATTAAATTAACTTTGGCTGCGCAGTATATTAAGTATTTAAAAACATAAATGATATTAGTAATATTTGACATAACAGTACGTAAATACTAGGAACCAGCAAAAGTTAGTAATATCAATAAATTTACTCTAAATAATCAGATTTTCCTCCGTGGAGCAATGTACATGCTTTTACAACAAAGTCCCCGAAAATACGCAAGTTATGTCAACAAAATCTGTTTGAAAAGGATTGAGTATTATAATATTAAAAATAAGTGACTGATAATAACTCTTGGGAAAGAGGTGGTTGCTACTATACCGTTTCTATGTATACATTTCATATTCAATATTTCTACTTTCTAGTTCAGTCCTACTAGGTTTTTTGCTGGCTCTTTTCAGAGCAGACGTTTTTCCGAAAAAATGGCAAATAAAATAAAACAATAATGAACAACCATAATGAAATGTCTTTATTTCTTTGGCGCAAGAAAATTTATTTATATTTGTGAAATGTCATTTTTTAATCCTACTTCAACCATAATCCTACCCCAAAGACCATAAATTCTCGCGAAAGAACATCAATTCCTACCTGGGATGATACGTAAGGCTATTGAAATTATGAAAACATCTTAATTCCAATAGAAAAGGAGGCTGGTGACTACCACCTGATTGGGATCCTATAATTAATAACATTAATACTAAACCCAAGCATACCACTGCAAGACTTCAAGACATCATTAAGAATCATTTGTTTGTAACGACAGCTTTGCGAAATTTAAAGGTATTTTTTTAAGTTATAAAATTAAACTGAAATGCATCTGAATTTTTGATACTTAATCGAGGATGAACGGAAGTGTTAATGGGCCAACTGTTTACTCGTTTGTCATTCTTGTTTCTATAAAATTACCTTAAGCCCATTCTGGGTAAATCAAACTACAGATATAAAGGTAGCCCGGGTTAAATATGACATCAGGATGTCAAATGCCTCAGTTCAGTCTCCCTGTGTATACACGGACGCTTTTTGCCTGAAACGTGGGATTTAAAAAAAGTTAAAATTCGTAACATTGCTTTTATCTAAAGGTATTTAAATCCTCCATCCATTACATCAATAGTCCACTGCTGAACTGCCTCTGCCATAGATTGCGGGGATATTTACCAAATCTAGCAGTTGAGTTGGCAAACGCAGTTTTTTTATTATTTTGAGTAGTTATTAGGAACATTTTGCTATCTTCTGTTTGAATTTTGCACCTGAATGGTTTAGATTTACAAATGAACCCGGTAGGGGCCGCTGTTGTCGAGATTCAAAAATCACCGTTATGTATGTATATAATTTCTTATATATTGCCGTGACTATTAATGTATAGTTTGTAAATATAAGAAATCATATATAAATAGTATACTTACCCTATAAAAAAATCAAGTACCAAGGTAGTTTCTCTAAAATTAATCCCCTAAAACATCTCTATCTTGTGAAATTAAACAAATACTACTCTTGGTTATTTCAAAGTCAACACTCTTAATCACAAAGGGTCCTCCCATCTCAGTTTAAAAAGTTAGAATTCCTATCGCCATTTTGTCGAATTGAACTATAAACACAAAAAGATGTTGCTGTAAAAGAAACGCATCGTCTTTCCCGGGTTTTTCAATCTAAACTTTAACTGCTTATTTGAGGGATGAACGAACTCTACTGAGGATACATCTAAGGATGTTATAACACCACACCACATACATATTCGGCCTTATTACAAAAAATGATTTATACTTAATCTCAGGCTTAAACGAGAATCCGTTTCATGGAAGTTACTCGCGGATATATGCGAAAATGTGAAGTTTAGTTTCACAGCAATTGTCAAATTTCGCGAAGACAATGACGCCGCTGTTAAAAGACTTCTATAGTTAGATGGACTCAAATGAAAGAGTATAGCATCATTTGTGTCCAGAGTAGACCTGCATAAGAAATACTTCGGCAGATGGGTGGATACAGACTGCAACTTACAGCCGCTGGATGAAGCTTGCCCACCACATGACTTTCAAAATTACTTCATATAAATTACTAAACATTTTTATAGTTATTTTAATATTATTTTGTCTAGTGATATGGATTTTTGAGGATTATTATTAAATAAAAAAGTAGCAAACGCCATTTGTTGACGCGAAAGCCCTACGATATATGTCTTTATATTAAAATGATGCATATTTCCCTAATTTCAATGTCCTAGCTCAAATTGTTTATTGCATGTCACATAAAAAATTTAAGATGGTACAATCTAGATAGGCATACATGTGACGCAAGGGCATAGCAACACTAGAAGGCCAGCTATTTTTGTATTATCTAACTTTTAAACATAATTTATAAAATATCATATCATCAACATTCAATATTATTTTATATAAATTAGTTTAATTAGTAATACATTGTAGTCGAAGTATTCCTTCTTGGTCGTTGTTTATCGTCCAGCAATTAATTTAAAATATAATTATATTTATTAATAAGAATTTTTTACTATTTATTAAATTGCGCAGGGTTTTCTAGCATTTTTATACAATTCGGTAAATGGTTATAAATATTTAATGACATAACGTGAGGACTAGTCGAAACTAATTTT